ATTCAATAGATGTGTAGTCTTAGTGGAAGAGATGCAGAAGTTCAAATAAGGGAGAAGAAAGCGTCAGGGTATCAAGGCCACATGAGGCAGTGACTACTGGGATGTCCATCAAGAAAAAAATGTGAAAAATTATTAAAAATTAAAAAAATAATAATATTATATACTATTACAAAAATAAGCTTATTATAATATTATTTTTGTAAGCTTATTCTACAATTTCAAGTATAAGCTTATAAATAAGGGTTCCGTTTCGATTATTCTATACTTGTTACACAAACATTTTTCAATGTTTTCTCAAGATTTTCTCAAGCTTAAGGCTTATGATCATAAGCTTATTGTAATATTATTCTCAAGCCATTTTGGTATGTTGGGTACACTTTTACTTTCATTACTCACGCAATTTCAATTATAAGCTTGTAGGTTTAATTGTTCGTTTTGTTTATCATATTTCATTCAATCAATTCTTTGAATTTCAAACATAGCATTTGAAATTACAAATACAAATAATCCATGTATTTAGAATTAAAGGTGTGTCAATTCAATGGTAAAAAAATATCGGTATATACGAAATATTAAACACATTTGCTTTTAATAAATACCCACCTTTTCTGGCTCTCTGGAATTTGATTTTCTGCACACGTTCAAATCATTTTCTTTTCTTTTTTAAAAAAAATGTTTTGTTGCAGCGATCACATATTTAACACATTTTTTCACAATTGTCCAATTTCACTACACTTTAACAGATAATCGCAAAATATTCAAACAAAATATTGAACTGAATATTACGCCGCACAAGTTTTGGCAAATAAATTCAGCTTAAAACAAAGTATTTAACTTGTTTTTAAAACCAAATGGAGGTGCCAAAAGTTTCAGCATTTGTTTTTATATCATTAGGTAGGCAAGTAAGGTTATTTTACCTTAAAAGGTAAAATAAGTGATTAGCAGAGCTTTCTTTATTGCAGTGCGATTTTATGACAAATCATTCATACATTCTCAAATTTGAAAAAAAAAGAAAAAATAATATGATCTCATAACCGTGCATTTTTTCTCTGTAAAAACTTAATTTTGAATGTTTTAGAACGTAGCCAATCAGATCCGTTTAAAAGAATTTAAGCACTGAAAACGGCTGATATCGAAAATCCTTAGGAACCGTATGAGGAGAATATGGAAAAAATAATGAAGGAATTTTTTGATTAATTGATGAAATGGAGCCTTAATAAATTTGAATGTGAAAAGACAATAAAAGGATACAAAACCACAAAATAGACATTAATTTAAGGCCTTACTGTGGGAATACCTAAACTTTGCCCAAACAATTGACTTTAAAATTCGCTGTAGCCAGAAAAAATCTGTAAAAACCATCCCCGAAAAACAGGGAATTGAGCATTTTTCCAGAATTGAAATCTCAATATCATATCAAACAGACTTTGGTAGGTGCAGCTTGTCGGCCTGAGTCACCCAAGTCGTTACAGCCCTTCGACGGGTTAAAATCATGATAAAACAAAAATGTTGTTAGCTGTCAGTTTCGTTTTGAAAATGGTTGCTCTCTGTAATGGAGAGTAAGATTTAATACTCAAGCAATAAAATCTGAAATATTCTAAATATTAAAAACGGGAGGTGCATCTAGATATTTCCAAAATACTATAAGCAGAAGGTAGTATTTGTTATGGGGGTATAATGCATAAGGGACAAATGAGGTTTTTTTTTTAGCAGGAAGCGACATATCTGAATGATAGATTAAAGTTCATTCTGTTTGAAATTTGTTGGGAGGGCTACATGGCAGATAACATGGCGCTACGGATCTTGCTTAAAAGATCATGGTTATACCACCGTGGTGATTGATACTCGCATTTTGAACACAAAACGTTTTTGCGTTCATTTTGTGTCTCTAAGGAAGAAAATCAAGAGCTGAGCAGCATGTATGTACAGGGTGAGATGAAAAAACTGCAACCAACTTCAGACTGCTGTCATTTCTAAACCACTCGTCCGACAGCTGTTAAAATTATTCCAGTGGCAGCTAATTATATTGATTACAAGCGTACAAAAGCATTTTAGTAAGAATTTTCCAGAAAAAAATTATTCGTGATGGAATTTAAGCGTGATAGTGTAATTTCCAGCATTTAAATGTTAATAAATCTTTTGTGTCTTGTACCATCGCTCGTTACCGTGATACTGGTAGCGTAACCCGATGTCAAGGAAGTGGACGGAAGAAAACAGCAACATCAGCAGAAATGGTTCGAAAAGTAAAGAAGCGACTTGATAGAAACCCACGTCGCAGTGTCCAAAAAATGGCTCGTGAGGTGAACATGTCGCAATATTCCATTCGGAAAAATTGAAAAATGAGCTCGAGGTAAAGCCAAAAAGTGCAAGAACTTACACCGCAACAAAAAAAATAGACTAAAAAGAGCTAGAGTTGCTTCGCTTGGCCGAAAGTGGTGAACTGCCGAATTTGGCTTTCTCCGATAAAAAAACATTCGTTGTCTAGCAGTTTGTAAACAAACAAAATGATCGCGTTTACTTGCCAAAGAGGTCAGCTGAAAATGTGCACCTTCGGTTGGTCACCAAAACTCAAGTGCCGGCCATGGTGATGATGTGGGCCACCATAACAGACAATGGCATCAGAATAAATGCCGAATATTATCGCGAAAATATTCTGGAGGGTGTATTGAATCCCTGGACACGCAAACATTGGGCACCGCATACCTTGGACATTCCAAGAGTACTCAGCACCATCGCACTCAGCACGCGCCAACCAAAAATGTTTACAAAATGAAGTTCCTCGCTTCATTTCCAGCGCACAATGGCCACCAATATCTCCGGATACCAATCCGTTGGAATATTGTGTCGGGAGTATTTTGGAAAGCAAGGTTGGCACTAAAAAATACCAAAGTGTCGATCACCTCAAGCAAGCGCTTTGCCGGAAATGGGCCAAAATACAGCAGAGCAACATTCGTACAGCGTGTGACGGTTTCATTGGCCGTTTGAAGGCCATAATTTGTGCCAAAGGTGCAAATTCGAACAAATCTAAAGTTATTCTAAAATTTAATGCCATTTGCTTCCATTCATTGTTTGCTTTCATTCAATAAAATGAAAAAAAATGTAAAAATTATGGCGTTTGACTTTGTTGTAGTTTTTTTTTATCTCACCCTGTATAAGGACGAAACTTCGAGAAACACAATGAATGTTTTTCTCACTTTTTCCCCCAGAAACGTGTCTCCATTATTGAAAATATTCACTCTTTAAACGTTGTTTCTTCCATAAATTTTTTTGTAAAGAATTTTAAAGATATACTAAGATATTCTAAAGAATAGTGAAGATGGTGAGTGATTGTCGTCTCAATAATTTTGCTTCCCACATAAAGAGGAAAATTTTTGTTTTCAAAGAGTAGGGAACTTCCCTTTTCGAGCATTATTCAATTCGTGTTACGAATCGGAGGTGTGGATTCTTGGGAAATTGCAGTTATTTTTATTATATAAATATAATCCTCTCATAGAGCCATATAAACAATTATCTTGAATATCTAATGCAAACACAATTGTATACTCTTCTGTAGTTCAAACATTTTCTAAATAATATAAATTAAACAAAATATTTCCCCCTGACTTGTCTTGAGAAAAAATTGGATTTCTAAATTATGTTCAAATTATTACTTAGGGTGTTTTTCCCATCTCAAAAAGTTCTTTGTACAATGGTCCAGAATAATTGTAAAAATATTGCAGTCTTTAGAGCCTAATTAAATTTTTTTTTATAACATCTTAAATACATTTTAAAGGAAAAACTTACCTATTTTATTTTTTCAATATGCTTCCGATGATTCCAGTATTTTGCAGCATTGAACAGCAAAGTGTTTTTAATTCGCATTTTTTCATATATTGGCTTAGATTTTCCTTGAATATTATATAGAAATCCATCATATAGACTTGCATTCATTATTCATTCACAATTCATAACAGAACTTATTTTCACTTTTTATCACGATGTGCGCATTTAAAAACGATTTGAAACACAAGTTTAACAACATATATGTTTATATAATCAGTGAAATATTCTCTCAAAACAGCATATTTGCATTACATGCTCGACGTATATATTCAATTCATACAAAAAAAGAGGAAAGCTTAAACTCCGTATAATTTTTTGATTTCCAACTTAACATAGAAAATATTTTAAAGTGGCCCCGGTGTTATAAGAGGATAGTTGAGTTTTTCAAATAAATTTTGTTTAGTAACCAAATTATTGATACTGGTTGGCATTGGTATCGGTTTGGTTTTGCACCATAATTGTATTTCCTTTGCTGGGAGTTATTAGCAAAAATCACTTTCTCGGCGTTTTGTATGAACCATCAGAAAAACTATGTCTTTAATGTTGAATATAATCAAGAAGTCATTCATATTGTCATTCGCAATAGTCTTTGGTATTTTGGAAGAGAATGTCACCCAAGGAAAATTGTAATTTTTATTAATAGTAGTCAATTATTCAATAGCGTTTTGTATCAATTCTTTTTTTTGGCTTGCCAATTCAAATAAAGGCTTATCATATTACATATAATCATCGTATTGTGTCAAATATTGCATTGTCCAGTTTTTAAATATAAAATATATAATTAATAAAATAATAATTAACATACATATATATTAAGATAATAGTACTTACCTTATTAAAACTTCTGCCATTTACTGGAATCATTCAGAAATATTTTGTTTGCTGATGGCATTCTTCGCCTTTGTGGTATTACAATTGTATATATATGTGAAGATGATAATATATAAACAACAACTTGGCATTTTCTTTTTCGCAAATGAATAATGTGCCATATTCGTGTGTGAGTGTGAGTAATTTAATGTTAGCTTACAAACTAAAATTTTAAAACTACAGCCTATCTTACTTTTCCTCCATACCTTAGGTGACCTTAAAATCAATTTCAATATCATTTCAAAATTTGTTGTTTTCCATTATTATTTGGAGTAAAACTGTCTTTAAACGAAGATAGATAGACAGACAGACAGAGAGAGAGAAAGCGAGTGGGCGAGACAAAAACTTTGCACATTACGGCAGAATCTTTGAATGGGGGGGAAAATAAATTAATTTATTGTTATTAGAATTGAAGCAGACAGTCCATGATTTGGAAAAAAACTTAATACCATACTCAAATAAATTCTAAAACTGTAATAGTTATTTACAACAATATATGCCATATATCGTATTTTTGCTGAAATTCAAATTATGGAAAAAAAACATTTTGTTTGACTCATTAAATTAAGACATAACCATTGATTATGTTATATTAAAAGAGGAGCTTTGAAATGTCGGCTGCTGGCTGGATTTATGTCTGCGGCGGGTAATACTTTATGCACAATGGCACCAACAACTCTTCATCTTCTTCAGAATCAAAATTATCGCTACCTTTTTCGTTCTTAATAATTTTACCGCCCTGTTTGGCTTGTCTCATTATATTGGGAGGTATGGGTTTACTACGATCTGCCTCCCATTCGGTACGATGTGAACGTTGGCGATGTTTATACATATTGGCATTGGAGCAAAATGTCATGGGACAATTGGGGCAGGTATATAATGCCTCTCCGGTGTGTACAGATATGTGTTCCTTAAAAAATACAGAAAAAAAGACAAGAGAATTAATATCAAAATTATATATTTTATATATAGCACCACAACATACCCTTAAATCCTGAGCCCTTTTAAATGCCTTCTCACACATGGTACACTGGAATTTCTTGTCACACTCATGATTATGGTAAATGTGCAGTTTCAATGCCCTTGCCGTCGATGAGACCTTATTACAAATATGACAACGATGCTCGGCGGCATCATCAACTGATTCGTGTAAATTTTTCATGTGTTGTTTTAAACCCGCCACATGCTTCAGCCATGCGCCACAAATTTTACATTGCTGTGGTATCGGTATAGGTCTTGGTTTATCAGAATGCTGTAGATTGTGATGTTTTTTAAGATTATATCGATTTTTTAGAGTTTTACCACATATATTACAGTCTACCGCTCGTTTTGGATCATGCACACATTTCATGTGATCTTTTAGTTTACGATCTGTTGTACATCTGCAATAGAGACAATAATGGATAGAGATTTATTGAAAATTTACAAAATAGCGATGTAACTTACAAAATTGTTATTGAGGATCCACAGACAGGGTTTTAGTTTTCTTTTTTTTTTTGTTCATTTTCATTTCTTTGATTCACTTTTTTTTCACCACCAGACTTGAAACTTATATGATTAAGCGGAATCGCGTAGTATCCATGAAAAAATGCTTCGGACTTTACTTAAGATTTATGGGAAAATGTTAAATATGTTTTATTTTTCACTTTAAATTATTTTGAGTTATTAATTTAGGGAACATTTAATACAGCTTCAATCGACAAACACATTGTTCTCCAATGTGAAAACTTTCCGACATAGAATTGAATATTATGTTTTCAATATTGATTTCAATGCTTAGGGAAACGCTTTACCATTAAACTATCCAACGTCAACCACTAGGATTATCAACTAATACTTTTTTCTTTGGTTTTGCTTATCCCGGGACATGAAATGAAACCTTTAATATTTATTCAACATTTTAAAAAACTCAGGTACATAGAAAACTCTCTGATCAAGATGACGTTTGTATCAATTATTCATTTAATCAAAATGCTTTTGCATCTACTGTTTGGAGTAAATAAAGCAAAATTAACAATATTTAATTTTTAACCAATTCTGAAAATTAAATAAAAGAATTGAAAATAAAACCATATTAGGTCTACAAATGTAAATTTTCAAAAAAGCTGGGTTACGTCGTCAACGCTAGAAATCTGAAAAACCCCGAGTGTCGATATAAGTTTGGAAACCGATTGTAAGGATAACTAAATTCTAAACATGTCATTCGGTTTTGACAGGTCATCCGCTCCAATTTAAAAAAAAATATATATTACATTCCAATCAGTTGTAAAATGAAACCCAAAAATCTATAACCTATAAGGATCACTTCCTTTCTGAATTTGCAGTTCGAAACGAAAACAGCCCTGCGAGTTGCTACAAAACAACCTAACTCCTGGCCCACACTAAATATGGATAGTTTGGCGGTTTTTTTAAATTGGGATATCCCAATATTTGGACATAATTATATTAACATTTTCTCTGTAAAACTTCAATGTATCAAACTACAGGTGAATAATATAGGTAGATCCATTATTAAAATAAAATCTGCCAGTGTCGTAAGATGTAACTTGTAACAAAACCTGGATATATAAAATCGTCGAGAAGATTCCGCGCTGAGTATTTTAAATTACAGAATATTCGTTTATACCGCAATTTAGGGTGGCTTCATTTTATTTTATTTTTCATTTTATTTTTAAATGAAAAAATTCGTAATCCGTCTGACATGGAGAAAGAAAATCCGTCAATAAGATTTAAGATGAGGATCATTAACAAATCTGGAAATTTTTACTTCATAAATGGAGAAAATGCCTGTTCCTTCTTAAAAAGAATTTGCGCTGAATAAAGAACAACTCATTATTCGCGAATATTCACATTCACATTCTGAGTAATGGGAACCTTCTTAAACATATAGGGCTGACACAATTAGTACTACAATCTTAGAAGAGCAAAAACGAAACCAAGTATTTCCCCATATTATTATGGTATAATACCAGGAAAACTAAACTAACACAAATTTCATTTTTCTAAGGCATACATTTCTACCCAACACCAAACTAAAAAGTCCAACAAATTGAGAAAGGTCCTAGTAGCTCAAGTCATTTTACACAACTACTTATCGTGGGTGAAAAGGCAAAAAAAAAACGAGTCAATATAAAATAGTATCTCAAATGCTAACTTTCAAACGTTACTTTTTGAGGCCATTTAAATCCGTCGAAGGTTTCAAATTATATGTTTAATATATCTATATTATACCTTCTTCAATTTACATTTTATAAAAGGGGCAATTCTAATGTTTTTCTACCAAATCAGCAAGATTTAGAAAAAAAGGATGAATTTAACCTGAAATTTGGGTGATTATCTATTCCAGTTATATTAAGTATTCCAAGAGTCCTTCTACGAAAACCAAACCATAAAGCCTATTTCTATAGGTACCAATAATAGAAAATATTGAAAAATCTTAAAAACGTTGTAAAACGCATTTCCTCTTAAAAAGTCTTTCCCTATCAAAACGACAAGACAGTGTTTGGTTGTATTTCAAAAAAGATTTTTTTTTTTGATATTAGTTTGTTTTCAAATTTCAAATAGAAAAAGAGAGCAAGAAGGAATATTTACTAATATCACATAATATTCTAGGCCACTTAAGGTAGGGAAGCATTTGTTTTTTGTGTTTTCATTTTTCATCGTTGTCTCAAACAACTCCAACTTTCGTTACTATGTTTTTTTTTTGCAAAATAAGACTAGAGATAGTAGAAAAATTGAAAATTCGGTACTCACTTTTTCTTACATTCAGGACACTCGAACTTAAATTCTTCGCGTGGCACATGCTTCGCCACCATATGATGTTCAAACGAGGCTTTCGATGAGAATGTCTTCGAACATTTCTCACATTGGAAGGTCTTTTTGTATTTTGATTCGGGTGGATTGGGCAGATGTGTTTGCTCGTGAGCTTCCAATTGTGTTGAATCACGACATATTTTATTACATGTTTTACATTTAAAGTGCTCGGGATTGTAGTGGACCATAATGTGCTCAGCCAAAAATTTACGTGTAGCAAATCGGCGGCCACAGCACTCGACAAAACCGTGATCATCGTTGTGATCAAGTCGAAAATGGGCACGCATCTCACTGAACGTGTGCACCATCAATTCACATTTGGGACAACGTAACTTCTCAAAGAACTTGGTAATGATGTTATCGTATTCGGCTTGTTGAGCTTGGCGGGCAGCAATATCCTCCTTGGACATACGTTTAGGCTCGGATGCGGTTTTTTCCCGTTTCTTATACATTTTAGGCGTATTGCGTTCCTTTTTCAAAATAACAGCAAATTTCTCTGATTTAACCTTATCGGCCACCCAGTCAGAGGCATCCGAATCATTTTCATTTTCATCTTCGGATTCAGAATTGGAGGATTCATCCGAGTCTTTGGCTACAAAATCATTGTCATTGTCTCCATACTCAGGATCATCGTCGTCGTCTTCGTTGTCATTTGTGAAGTCGGGTATATCGAAAGGCTCATTACTCGGATCAGCGGTACTTGGTTTGTCTCTACTTTGCTGGTCCTCCGATACTTCTCCCTCGGTTTTGATGTGTGTGGTCGTCGCCGATGTTGAACATGATGGCTCTTCGCTTTCACCGCCCTCGTTTTTAACTGTGGCCGCCAGTGATTTTTTGGAATTACGTTTACGTGCGATGGGAGTCTTTTTGGTTGCCTGTGATGCGGCTTTTGCTGCAGCTTTTTCAGCTTCCGATTTGCGAGGCCTACCTCTCCTGGGCCGTGCTACTTCTTTTTCTTTATTATCCTCCTCTTGTGGAACATCCAAAGAAGGGGGTGGCAGCAATGGTTTATCAGAATCCTCATCACTGGAATCGTGATACACATGAGCACTATCACCAAAGACATCGCCATCATCATCGTCCATTTCCTTATCTAGTGCAGGTGAGGACTCTTTTTTAATGCGTTTCGCTGCTGTCGTTGGTTTAGGACTTTCACCCCTCGCTGATGCAATGCGGGTGCGTCTACTTTTTACATCTTCATTGTTATCATCTACATCTCCTGCAACTCCCCCCATCGATGACATATCATGTTCAGTTTCCAAGATTTCGATTTGTGGCAGCAGATCCAAGTCATTTACTTCCACCTTGACTTCAGGATCAAACAAGTTATTGCCCATGGAAGAGTGTCCCATTATGGGATCTTGTAGCATCATAGGCACGGGGGTATCTTCAGATTTGAGCATAACCACATCTTGCTGAGGTAGCGGATCATCTAGTATATCTATTGTGTGTACAGCTCCCAAGTGTTTGTGGGCTTCTTCGACTCTTTCGTACAGTATATGAAAGTCTCGCACAACTTCCCAGCATGTCATGCAAACTTGCTGCTTCTCGTCGCCATTACGATATGTCTGTATACACACAAAATAATTGCATTCAAGGCTGATGTTCTTCATAGATGAAAAATCGATTTTTGCAAACGCCAACTTACCTTTATCCAAAAGTGTTTGTTAATAATCGCACTTATGCCCAGTCGCAATCCATCCTCAGAAAATATATCCAAGAACTTTGGCCCCGGTATCGTAGGGTATTCCAGACACAGAATACACTTAACCATGTTGTTCGGTTCTCTTCTTCGTTACAATGCAAACACAGATTTTTCTTTCAACCACCAACACTCCGAAATTCTATGTATACGAGTTTTCTTCAATCGAGAAATAACAAATTTTATGTTATACGTTTGAACGCGAACAGATACATCGTCTATACATAAAATATGTATATTTTATTATAATATAAAAACGATTATTTAAACAAATAACAGACTAAAATTATTTTCCAAATGTTTCCCTATCTTCACACACAATAGATCCACAAAATTTTTTGACGCTGTATGACGCTACAACTGGTGAAAACTATGCCGAATCAAATTATGAGACGGCGTTAAAACGTTTGCAAAAATGACAATGTACTTTGCAACCCGGCATGTGTGAATACGCCGGTAATTCCATTACTGAGACGGAGACGAAAACGCAAACAAAAACAAAAAATTGTATAGAACATTTCAATATGGTTCATGTTTCAAAATGTGTAAATATGTTAAATAAAATATACATTTTGTGTTTGAAACTACAATTTTAAGCCCTTTTTGACGCATACAGATTGACTATTCAACCTCACACAAAGGCGTATACGCTCAGCACGTTTTTATTACTGTGACAATAGAGTCTGTGGTCACGCCTGCAGACTTTCACTAACGTTAATGCTTTTAAGTACAGAGATGCATGAAAACAACATCATTTTTAAAATGTTGTGTATATAATTGTTTTTCCCATTATAATGAGATCGCAGAAATAGTAATTGAACAGAAAATCACGAAAAATGAATGGAACGGGGAAAATATTTCACAATGTCGAGTTCCTAATACCATCACATTTATTTTTATCAATATTAGAGTTATTCGATGAATATTTTTATTTAATGCAGATTTTAAGTATAAATTGACATTTTTCGAACGGTCAAATTTAGCTATTTGAATATAGCGCCGAAATAGACTGATTAACATAAGAACAATTTGTATCATTCTCATGGCACATGAAAAATGAAGGGTAAATCTACCAGCTAGTTACATTTTTTTCTGAGTGTGCCTGACTTCTGCCAATTTTGTGCTTATATATACAGGGTGAGATAAAAAAACTGCAACAAAGTCAAAAGCCATGTTTTTTACATTTTTTATTGAATGAAAGAAAAAAAATGTCGGAAATATTGAATGAAAGCAAAAACTGTCGGAAAAAGCATCAAATTTTAGAATAAGTTTAGATTTGTTCGAATTGGTCACATTTGGCACGAATTATGGCCTTCAAACGGCCAATGGAACCGCCACACGCTGCTCGAATGTTGCTCTGGGGTATTTTGGTCCATTCCCACCAAGCGCTTACTTGAGGTGATCGAAACTTTGGTATTTTTTTAGTGCCAACCTTGTTTTTCAAAATACTCCAGACACAATAGTCCAACAGATTGGTATCCGGAGATTTGGCGGCCATTGTACGTTGGAAATAAAGCGAGGAACCTCATTTTATAACCATTCTTTTTGATATCATAAAGGGGAAATCAGTAAATGTAACAAAAACTTTTGCATTCTTGCTGTTCTGAAACAGGCCAAAATTAAACTATGTCATCCTAAAACCCCTTTTTTTAGAAGGAAGGCAATCAATGACTTAAGGTGGGAATACATAAAATGCTTTCTTGAATGGCTTAAGTCATCTGCTGTTTTTTTTTTTTTTCTTAATAGCATGTTTCCATTGAAATCCGAACAACGTTGTTCGCTCTCAGAATTAGGTACACGAATTAACCCCTTCACACGGCACGATTCGTAATTCATAGTAAAATAATTCATTTTTTCAAACATTTTGTTTGTTGATTTTAATGGGAATTTATACTAAAATACATTAAATTCTCACTAATATGAGTAGAAGAAATGATTGTTTTTCTCCCAAAGATTTATTATATCATTAATTTTATAATTTTCATTCATGTTTTCAACTTTTTGTGTAAATGTTGCCATTTTTAACATATTTTTGTATTTTTCTGTTTTTTTACTTCTGATGGAGAGACACCTGTCAAACATTTTTTTCTGCCGATACAAACATTTTGAAAATATTGCCTCTTTTGTTTCCAGTTTTCTGTGGAAATTTCAACTCGTGGACAAAATGCGTACCTCGGATGAGAGAGAAAACACAATTTACTTTCGTTTGAATGTACATACACTATTCAACATTGTAGTTTCAATTCATAATTTTCAGTCTTCCCAAAAATTATCAAAATTTCATTAAATTTTTCTATTTTCAATTTTTAAATGTCATAATTTATTTTTTCGATAAATGCTCTCATTTGTTTTTTTTTTTTGTTGTTCTGAAAGTGATTTGATTTGAACAATGTAAAAATATGAGTGTTCGCTCAGGAAATTTTGTGTGAAGAATTAAGTAGTTTTTTCATAGTTAAGGGTCAAACAACGAATAGAGAGCGAATCAAATGCAGTGGAAACGCCACATAATATCAAAGAAGCGTAGCGTCAACCGAACAAATTCAACCTAAAACTTCTTGTTCCTTTACGAAGAAAACAGCCACTGACTTAATCCAATCAAAAAACGTTTTGTGTATTCTCACCAAGGCCAGCCAAAATGCATTTTATGTATTCTAAGCTAGGCATATTTTGTGACATTTCATAAAGGGATTACAGAGCCGCACTAAAATCCTGCCGTCTTTTTCCATTATAATTTGACATAAATATATCTAGCCATGACTTCAAGCTTGTTATGTACTTGCACCTCAACCGTAGATGAACAAAGCTACCATCTCTCGCCGCCGTTCTTTGTCACATATTTGGTGAGTACACGCAGTCAAAAAAATTACTCGGCCTCGTTGTTCGTGCGGCATGCTTTTCGACGTGTTTGTTTGTGTTTTTTAATTTCAAATTAGAATATCAGAATATCGTTTTTTTTCAATTAAAGACAATGGATGAACGTAAACTCGAATATGATTCCACATTGGGAGGCCCAGTGGTACTGGGCACTCATATGCCCACATACAAATATGCTGCCTCCGCACTGCAGGAACTCAAGGAATTGATCAGCGCCACAAAACAAACAACATCAACGAAGCTTATATTCCAATCATTGCCCAAACACATGCGTCGGAGGGCAATGTCCCATCATCCCAAAAGACTGCCACGGAAATATAGAGCCGGTCATATTCATCAGATGTCGAAATCGGGAAAGCCACAACAGACAAAAAGACCCTCTAGGAAACATCGTCGACGCCCTCAGAATCTTTTAAAGGAATACTTGAGACGCCAAAGGAAACATCAATGGCTGGAGACCCACATATGGCATGCCAAACGTTTTCATATGATCGAGAAGTGGGGCTATAAACTTCCATATGCTAGCTGTGATAAAACTTATCGGGCATGTTACCGGGCCACCGCTGAACATTGCCTTTTGCAGGATATTTCATTTCATGCTTGTATCGAAATGAGGGGAACAATAAGTAGACTAAAGGAAGGTTTCGATAGGTTAACTAGCAGGGAATGTGGTCTGTCAATAACTGCAAAAACATTTGTGACTGGTCGCCGAGAAGGATGTATTGATGTATTTAAAGATCGGCAATATCCTCTCAACGCATTGGGTAAAGTAAGCTTTTTATGGCGCTGTCAGGAAGATGGCGATAGTAACGATAATATTCCTAGAATAGTTTGGCTTTGGTTACATCCATCGAGCTACAATCAGATTTTAGAAGAACTAATTAAAGTATTTGAGCTGAAAAGTCAAAAAACCATTAAAGTGCCTTTAAAAGAAAAAAAATCCCTAGAAGATCCCGTGGAAAAGCAGGTGGATGCACAAAAGCAAACGCTACAATCTGCCAAAGTCCAAAGACGTTTGCAATTTTTGACAAAAACCCAAACACGGCGCAAAGTTCCTATTTATCAAAGCGATGACTCAGCTGTTCAGCTCAAAGAGCTAAAGGACACGTTGAACAGGTTCCGTCTAACGGGACCCCTGAGCCAAAGTGTTCTGCAAAGAGCTTTTAAAGTTATTGATATTGATGATGTTGACTGTAAGCAAAACACTTGGATATGTAGGAAAATAGAGGAAGGCAATTTTTCAAAATTGCATCAAAGACAAAAAGATTTTTGGAATATGTGTCATAAACGTATTACCTCACCGGCCGAGCTACTATCCAATATGATACTGGGCCTGAATGTAGAAGATCCTCGTTTAAATCGCCCGCAAAAACGTACAAAAGCTTTAATAACTTATGATGTCCAAGCATTTCATGAGTCAAGTCAACAGCTACTATGCGATATAATACCAGAACTGAGTTCATCACCACTGTGGTCTGAAGAGACGAGGAATCGTATTTCTGATGAAATGTTAAGTACACATGATTATTGTTCTCTAAGAGCAAAACATGCTATAGTACCTGGCAAAGCTTGTCAATTTGAAGATTCAATGCAACCCATACCCGTGTTGTTGGTACAGAGACCAGGCTCCCAGGAGGGCGATTATAAACGTCTTTCGTATGCATGTGGTTGGGATATTATAGCACCAGCTGGCTATGGTATGCCCATATGGTTGTCATTAATTATGTGGGGTGCTCGTCCGGGTGGTTTAAGAGAATTCGAATCAATTGCCCGCGAACTAGGAACGGAAGAACATTTACCTGATACCGTTGGTGGTAAGTAATTACATGTAAATTTCTTCTACTTATTTAAAGAAATATTCTTTTTTTTGGGATTATATCTAAGCTAATTCATTACGAGGTAAAGAAATTAATAGCCAAAATGATGGTAGTACAGGGTGAGATAAAAAAATGCAACAAAGTCAAACGCAATAATTTTTACATTTTATTGAATGAAAGAAAAAAATATCGGGAAATGGCATCAAATATAAAAAAATAGATTTGTTTGAATTGATCACCTTTGGCACGAATTATGGCCTTCAAACGGCCAATGAAACCGTTACACGCTGCCCGAATGTTGCTCTGCAGTATTTTGGCCCATTCCCGGCGAAGCGCTTGCTTGAGGTGATCGACACGGATTGGTATCCGAAGATTTTGGTGAACATTGTGCGCTGGAAATGAAGCGAGGAACCTAATTTTGTAACCATTCGTGGGTGGCCCGTGCGAGTGGGAGTGCTATGGTGCTGAGTCTTGTTGGAATGTTCAAGATCTGCGGACAAAATGTTTGCGACCCCAAGGCTTTAATACACCCTCCAAATATTTTCGCGATAATATTCGACATTTATTCTGATGCCACGGTCGGTTAATACGAGCGGAGAGCGACCATCGGCTGTTATGGCGGCCCACACCACCACCATGGCCGGCGCTTGAGTTCTGGTGGCCAACCGAATGTGCACATTTTCAGCTGACCTCTTTGGCAAGTATACACGATAATTTTGTTTGTTTACAAACTGCTGGACAACGAGTGTTTTCTCATCGGATAAAACCAAATTCGGCGGTTCACCACTTCCTGCCAAGCGAAGCAACCCTTTAGCTCTTTTTAGCCTATTTTCTTTAAGTTTCGGTGTAAGTTCTTGCCCTTTTTGGAATAGCCACGCGTAGTTTTCCAGCCAAATATAAAGAAATCATACTACAACTGGAAAATTGTCACCAAAATGCATTTATACGCTTGTATGCAATATGATGCGCTGTCACTGGAATAATTTTAACAGCTGTCGGACGAGTGGCTTAGGAATGACAGCAGTCTGAAGTTGGTTGCAGTTTTTCTAGTATTTTCATTTTTTAAAACTTTACAATGACAATTTCAGTCAATTTGGATATAAAATATGGCTCTGTACCTTAAATCCACGTGTACCACGCCAATTACTTGTCTATTTCAGATCCCAATAGATTAATTTAGAAGTCTGAAGTTGGTTGCAGTTTTTTCATCTCACCCTGTACGAGCTGGTTCTATGCTCTCCAAAAGCCCGAACCTTTTGTGAAATAGCTTTCGATAGTAGGACAGCAAAGGTTCGAACCCGTTTAGATGACATGACCCATTTGTTGTTGTGGTGTGTAAACATGCCTAGATCCGTTGTGCGATTTCACTAAGTGCGGCGTCTAGCTAATAATCAGCCGATTCGTTAACAAGTGCCGGGTTAAAGAAATATCATCTATCCCCCACACATCATATTTTAAAACCTCGAATACTTAGATAATATCTAAAGGGATCTTCCATTTATATCAGCCGACTTTAATTTCCTATATGTTCCAGAAGCGTTCTTTTATCAGTACGACAAGAATATATAGCTATCATTTCTTAAGCATTAATTTATTTCCACATGTTAGTTTTTTTATGAATGAGTGAAACAATTCTTTAAAATAGATTGGCTATTAAAATTATCTCCGCTGATATTATGAAGAAATAAACTATATTTATTACAACTGCTATCTATCATTATGTCGTTAATTTTTTTATTTTCATCGGTATCGAATTACACCCCACTGATATGTAGAGCACGTAGTAGATGCTGATATGAAATGTGTGAAAGATGTTGGGTCTCATCTTATCTTCATTTGGTAAAGAATACACAACAAAATGTAATACTTAAACAAATTGATTTATCTAAAAAATTTCCCAGTAGTTTAGGCCACAGAATTATTTTTTCTTTCTTTATCTAATTTTATTACAGGCCTGCAAACATCAGGACATCGTTACAATGAAATGTACAACAAATATTTTCGTCTACCTCCGGCTAAACGTTGTAATTATCGTAAATTTGCCATTGTATCACCATTTCGAGTACCATTTCCCCAACTATTAAGAGACTGGGATACCAATGGCTCAAAATGTGGAACACCTACAACCGATTTCTTTGTACTCAGGGATCGCTCTAAACTTCAAGAACTTTCAGAGTGTCTGCGGAAATGTAATCTATACAAGTTTCCCAAAGACTTACCCACCGGCCAGTGTTTAATACAAGTAAAAATCAGCATGACTTCAAGGGGAAATCCTGGGGATTTCTCCCTTATATGTTTGCCAAATCGTAAAGATTTCAAGAAGAAACTTAAACAAATAAAAAATCACAATCATGAACCAGTTTATGTTGAACCATTGCTACCTGACATCGATGAAAAGGAAAGGAAACGACTTCGCTTGCAGCACAAGAAACAATTGAAACGTTTGAGGGGACAACGTGTACGAGAGAAACGCAAGAAACAGGTAGGTTACCCCTAAGAAGTAATTATTGTATTTTTTTATTAAAAACATATGTTTCCATTTCTTGTAGGAAACTAGCACAACAAAAGTTGTCATACGGCCAGCCAACACCACTGCCATGTGTTTGCAACACATGAGGACAATGTGTAAATTATGGCTACCCGAAAACACCGACACACTATATAGTGTTCGGAAACAGGGAACTCGTGATTGTTTTGGTTATATGACAACAGCACATTTCTGCCTAACCGAGGGCAATGTTGGTGGTGTAGGCTATGTCACAGTCGAGGGGTTACGCGAACTTTTGAAATTATGTCAACAGTGTCGCCTCAAGCAGCCACAATGTTTGATTCGCTCAACGAATAGCCGTAATTACCGTTTTGCTGTATTAAAAATTAATATGAATGTATAGTTGTTGAATAAATTATAAGAACAAATACAAACAATCGTATTACTTCTACAACTTATAGTCCTATTTTTGCATTCTAGCTTGTGTCATAACACTTCACATTCTTCGTTGACAAACTTTTTTAGGGATTTATTGATTGTAGTTATTATAAATTGACAGGATGATGGGCATTGAAATTGGCACAAGTTTTTTGTGGTGGCTTTTATCAGCACTGTATTTTTTCTAGTGAAGAACATAAAGAGCCCGGTAAGGGGAACATATTATACCCCCAGCTGTATGGCTAGAGAGGGTATGTATCATTTGATACGGTCACAAAATGCCTAGTCGAAATAACGATCTTAGACCCTAGGTCTCTTGTGACCAAATCCGTTTCAGGACATTTGGAGTGAATCTAGCGGTGTCCGTCCGTCCCTACGTCTGTCTGGGAGTATCCGATTTGATCCAAACTTGGTACATCGTAATATTATTCTTAAACTTAGATCGAGTTCGGAGATGGGCAATATCGGTCCACTCCTTCTGGTGCCTCCCCCACAAAATGTCAACATTTTCAAAGAAAATAATTTATTCCACCGAAAGAAAAAGGATAATCCGATTTTGCCCCAACTTTGCAAATCCTAATATTTGCATCAGTGCTAGGTCAGGTGCAAAAATGGACATAATCAGTCCACTCCTTCAAAATTTTGAATAATTATATCTCTTATAAAATTTGATGTAAGTGTCCGATTGTCTCCAAATTACACACATCACAATATTTTAATTAACCCAAGGCCTGGTTTGAAAATAGAATATATCGGTTCACTTTTCTGGTACCTCTCCCACAAAGGGTCCAAATTTTGAGTATTCATGAAGCTCATAAAACACGAAGTTAACATCCGATTCCATTCAGACTTGGTACATCTCAATATTTCCATAAACACAAGATCTGTTATAAAGATGGTAGAGATCGGACCATTTTTTTGTGGTACCTCCTCCACAAAGGGTCAACGGTTTGAATAACCAAAACGACCATAAAATCCGGAATAAGCATCAGGTTCTCTTCAAATTACACAAATCACAATATTTTTATTATCCCAAGGTCTGGTGTAAAGATTGGATATATCGGTCCACTACTTCTGATACCACCCATATAAATGGACAAAATTTTGATTACCCATAAAGCTCATAAAACACGAAATTAACATCCCATTCCATTCAGACTTGGAACATCTCAATGTTTTTATCAACATAAGATCTGTTATAGAGATAGTAGAGATCGCACCAGTTCAAAGAAAGTGAAATAAGCATCGAAGTCTCTTAAATTTCACACATCCAAATACATTTGTTAACGCAAGATTTGTTGTGAAGATGATATATATCTACCAACCCCTTCTGGTACATCACCCACAAAGGTTCACAATTTTCATTACTTATGTATATCTCTCATAACTCGGCGATTCTTTACAACCTGCTATATCTAAAAATTTCCTCCTCCCTCTAAAAATGTTTTGTTTTTTCAATGAATTTATTGTTTGTTTTATTTACAATTTTCTAGAAGACATTTACATATATACACTTACAAAAATTATATACAATTCATTGTAAATAGTCAAAGAAAATGTATAAATTTAACTTATAAAACGACATCAGCTATCATATGTCGTATCACTTTCATCTCTGGGCAGTGTAGATGGAGGTATGTGATTCGGTGGCAATTTTCCAGAATACTTGGCTCGACGATCCTCTAACCATTCCAGCGGATGGGCATTTTTACGATGAGCGTGCATATTACCGCTTGAAATAAACTGCATGGGACAATAAGTGCAGGTGTACAGCGGTGTCTGACTGTGATGGGCCAAGTGTTCCTTAGGAGAGAAAAAATTAACACAGAAATAAATCATTAAAAAAAATTGAACAAAAATTTCCCAAGACCCTTGTCTCACCTTCAATGCCGTTCGTTGCTTAAATCTCTTCGGACACAAATGACATTCATATTTACTGGTCATTTCATGATTATACTGGACATGTCTTCGATGACTACGCATGTTTAGCGAAACTTTTCCGCATACATGACACGTGTACTCAACAATACCGCCCTCAGGATGTTTCAGAGCCATGTGACTTTTCAAAATCTTCTCATTTACAAAACGTGCCCCGCACACATCACAGCGCATATAATTGATGGGCTTGTCGGAATGCTTTAGCATATGCCTTTCGAAAGCATCATTTTTTCGCAATACCATTCCACAAATATCACAAATCTTCACATATTTCTCCAAATGTATGAGGCGCACATGGTGATCGAGCAAGGTCTGGGAACCATATCTGCAAAGGATATAATGAGTAGTATGAGTAATAGAAACGAAGGGGAGAGGATGTAATTCAATAGGTGGAAATGTAGCCAAACGGAATCTCTGATTGTAAAAAACAGAAAAACCAACCATAAATAAAATTGGTTAAAAGAACGCAATTTTTTGTCAGGAGGTCCTTATATGTTCTTAAAAATGAACAATTATTGGTCAAGGGACCAAAAAATAAACAAAATTTTCTGGGTTGGAAGGCCCTCAACATTTTTTTTTTTTGAAATCCGACGACTTTCTTAAAGGTCTTCGATTATTCACAAGAAGTTTTCTAAAATGTTTCCTAAAAAAATCAAAATTTTTGGTAACATTCCAAAAAAAATCACGACATTTTGTCTTTATCTAAATTTCTCAAATCGGAAGATTTTTGTTTTCTTTTCTAAACGGGATGTGCTTTAAATGTATTTAAAAAAATCCACAATCCACGGAGAAATTCCTAAACAACCCCCCCCCCCCCCCCCCCTTTTGTCCGGAAGGACCTTAAAGCATGTTTACGTTGATTTATTTGAGGTATATTCAAAGGAATTGACAATTTAAACCGACTGGGGTTTCTAAATCGTGTACAGCGTAAACGTACTATTAGATACTCCCCATAAAAATCTTAAAAATTGGTCTTATATTTTTAATTAATTATTTTTCATTCACATCAAAATTGGTTTGTGGAAAATAGTGGAAGGTTTTTCATTTAAATTTCTTTGTATTTAAAAATTGAAAATGAAACCCCATGGTAGAATAATACAGGTAACAGCAAGTGTTTTTGTACAACAAACGTAACAACCATGGTCCAATAAAAAGGTAAGGTAGAGCTACCAGCTGATTACAATTTTTTTTCTAAGTGTGTCCGACTTCTGCAAATGTTGTGTCTGCCATGGTACATTGATATCAAGGTGGTATGATTTTAATTTTTTTATTTTCTTGGCTTAATACCATTGGTATGTTCCCAACATACCAAAAATACAATACAGCTTGAGAATAATATTATGAAAATAGTTTATCATAAGAATTTTTCAACAATGCTTGAGAAACACTTTTTTGCACAAACTTTTCTCAAATCTGTCCTTTGTTGACAAATTTGTTTTGATTTTTTTTGTGAAAATTGTCAACAAAAAATTATTTTCTTTGGTTAAAATCAAAATCACGCGAATTTAGGACCCATTTCCGGACGAAACTCTAAGGTAATGATGAATAATAAATCTGGGAATCTGTAGTATAAATTATTTCAATCTCATTTCAGAATGGAGGCGTCAAAAAGTTGCAGGAATTCAACAGAAGTGAAGAATAAGTGGAGGAGATACAGAAGCTCAAATAAGGGGAAAGAAAGCATCTAAGTATCAAGGCAACAGGATGCAGTGACAGCTGGGATGGCAATCAATGAATGAAATGTGTAAAATAATTAAAAAATGAATAAATAAATATTTTTTACCATTGAAAAAATAAGCTTTATAAAATATTACTTTCGTAAGCTTATTCTGCAATTACAAGAATAAGCTTATGAATAAGGGTTCCTTTTCGATTATTCTATAATTGTTAAACAAACATTTCTCAATACATTCTCAAGATTTTCTCAAGCTTTAGGCTTATGTTTGTAAGCTTATTAAAATATTATTCTCAAGTCAATTTGGTATGTTGGGTTGGGATGTCATCTTTATTTGTTTATATATGTGTTTTCTTTTCAATAACAAAAAAATTGTTCAGAAAATATTCATATTAGGGTGTTTTCAAAATGTTTATTTCAACGTATGCATCGACAAAATCTAAAGTTTTTGTAGCGAAATAATCCTTTAGAGATATATAGTACATGATTTTGAAAAGAAGTGTTGACTTTTCATTCAGTTATCGCGTTTTTCAATTATTTATTCAAAATAAATGCAACAAGTTGTTTGATTTTTTATTGTTTTGATACTAATTCTGACTTTAGTTGTGTATGGTTACTTTTCCAGCAGGAATTGTCCAGCAACTTCTCTCTGAGAGAAAAGGTAGTTTTATTCTCTTTTGCAAGGAAAATGCGAAAAGTAAACAGACGGTATTCCTGCAGAAGCTTGCAACTAATCAGCTGATTTGTCAAAACAAACCAATTTGTCCCCCATAAGGAGAATTAAAACAAAGGAAGCAATACTAATTTTACAAGTTTTTTAAATAAAAATGTTGGAAATAGTCTTTTATTTTTTTATTACATAATAACATTTACGTTTTTCACATTTTGTAAAGTTGTTCTCCAAAAAGTATTAGTCTTGCTAATTCCAAAAAAATCAAATTGAAAGCACAAAAATAAATAAACAAACAATAGAAAACATCTGATTGAATGTCGATGAATGATAAGAAGAAGAGTTGCAAGTGATTGCAAGAAGAAATTTGTCCAGCAAGAATTTGCAAACTTTCAATTGCAATTCGATTTTCACAGATTTTTTGCAAGAGTGAATAAACCAATAGACAAATAAAGGTATAGACTAAAAAGTTTTAAAATTTCCCCTTCCGGCAGATGTCAGGGCTAGTGAAGTCACTCGACTTCGAAAACAAATTATTCATTTTTCTGCTATTTAAGTTCTATATTTTTATATTCCACGACATATTTGGATAATGTAAAAGTAAACAAAGTCACTGTTTCGTTTTTAATTGATAAATAATAGAGAATCATAAAAATATTCAATATTTTGCATTTTGAGAGAATTTTGAGTGAGTCTACTGAACCTCTCTCACAGCATGAACTTTTTTCAGAGATAACAGATGAGACAACTTTTTAGTCTATACCTAATTTGTCTATGATAAAACTACGTTACTCTTTCTCTCTCTCTCTCTCTCTCTGAGAAAAAAAACTGCTGGACAAAGAAAAGTAACCTGGTATTGCACCTACATGCTTTATTCTTTCTTATAGATCACATCATTAAAATGTAACGGAAACAGAAATAAAAATACGACGCTAGTCTGCTATCTCCCTAAAACACTACTTACTTTTTTCCACATTCATTGCAACTGAATTTCTTCTCCTCCTCGGATAAATGTATTAGCTTATGTTTCTTGAGCACACTGGCGGACACAAATGCCTTGCCACAGATATCACAGGTGTGCCGGTTGTACTCCTTTTCATGGACATGTTTTTCATGCAATCGCAAGCAGCGGCGTGTGGACATTACTCTTTCACAATATTTACATTTATAACTGTAGACATCCGTATGACTGCGAATATGTTCGACCAGATGACAGCGGCGCCGAAATTTCTTATCACAACACCAAACATAGGCCTGTTCATTGTGTACCGTCTGAAAGTGACGACGTAAATCTGAAAAGGTTTTCGTTTCCTCCTTACAAATATCACAATACATGCGAAAGTTTTTGGCTAAAAAGTTGTCGTATTCCTTTCGTGTCAATTCGGGCAGTTCCTCGCCTGAATTCACAGCCGAAGGTTCGGTATCATTTTGAGAATCTGAAATCGCATCTTTGCCTGGCGTAGCCTCCATGGGAATATCATTTATACCATCAAGACTATTGGTATTTTCATTTTCACTGGGACTAATTTGATAGGAGGAGGAGGAGGAGGAGGTGGTAGTGGTGCTACATTCATTACTGCTAGTCGAAACATTTGACAATTTTCGGAGAGAACGTCGTAGTCGCGGTGTTTTGGTATCACTTTTGCTTTCAGAATCTTTTTTCTCTTGATCTTTCACCTCATCGCCTGTAGCAGCTAATTCAATTTTTAGTTTGGCATTTTTCTTAGCATTTCTGTTTTTCAATCGGGTCTTACTTTTTGGAATGTCATTGGCGTTCGTTTCCAATTGATTTGTGTCATTCTCCTCGTCATTTTGAGGATATTCTTTTAGTGCTTCATTTTCTTCGGTTTCCTTTGAACTTTTTGCCTCATCAGATGCATCAAGCTTTATTAATATTTTGGGAATTTTTCTAAACATATTCCTCTCTAATGGATCCTTACGTTTTCTGGGCGCGGTATCATCATACGTTATAGGTTCTTCATCAATTGTATTGTCGTTATATAAGTCCATACCATTGTCATCTGATATGGGCTCTTCATCAAATGGGGACTCTTCAGCATTCATAATTACTTTGCTAGTCCCTGCATTATCCTGATTATCGTTCAAATCGGCTTTTTGTTCATCTGTGTATTTATTAATTGAATCATTATGGGTTTGTTCGTTATTAGACAGTGTATTTTCGGAATTTTCCTTAAAATTCTGGGGAGAATTTTGGTGTTTAGAAATTGCATTTTCTGAATTTTCCTCTGAGCATGCGAACACGTGTGACACAACATTGGGCACATCGTCGATTACATTGTCTTCTTGATTATTAAGATCATTGAGTTTGTTACCATTTATGCTTTGACTTTCAGTTAGGCTTTCCTTAAAGAAAATGGCTGTATTTTGAAGATGTTGACCTTCTTCGTTTTTCCTCTTTTCAATGCATTGTTGGCCATCTTGCTCTAGGTCTTTTTGCATTTCATTTATAAGAAAATCTTTGGATAAACTATCCAGAATTTCATCACCTAAAAGTTCGATCAGCTGTTGATGCTGTTCTGCTTCAAAGACGGCAGTCCTTGCATCCAGGTCTTCCGATCTTATGTCATTCATCAAAGTGTGTGGATTTTCGTGAAAACTATCTTCCAATAAACTATTTAATTCCTCTTGTACTGAAAGTTCATTTTCCTGATATTCGTAAATATTTGAATCGGTCGGAAGATTTAAACTCGAATTATTTACATGTGTCAGAAAACATTTTGAATTTGGTTTTGCTGGCGATAATGATTCTTGCAAATTAGATTGCTCTTGCGCATAGAGTTTGTCTCCTTTAATATTCTCCCTGCACTGAATTGGCTGTGAATCGTCAATATTCTCGTTTAGTTTGATAACAATGTCAATACTTCTTGTATTTTTATCAATAAGTTCTTCAAAGTCATTTTGTTCTGGTGGTACCGGTTGAGCTGGTGAAGTTTTGATTGTTTTCATACTCATGGCAAAATCCACATGGGCCTCCTCAATACGTATATAGAATTTATGAAATTCATTCAAAATGTGGAAGCAGGCTGCACATATCCACGAATTGGTTTTTATAGAGTCCTGCAGAGATTAAAAAAGGAACTTTAGTTGTTATATATAATATGAGGATATAGATTTGTCATTTTTTATTAAATTAGAAGATTACTAATTCCCTAAAAATAGGAGGATATTAAGTTTGACGGACAGAACTTTGAATCCCCTTCTTCATATATAGAGTGGCTCGTACGAAATAGTTTGAAGATTTTTTCCTCTTTCCCTCTCTCTATATTTATTTAGTAGCATATCTTGCCGAAAATAACTATAACTAGATAAACAAAGTCATTAATAGCTAAAAACAAAACTAAAATTGATAGAAATGAAAATGCTTCTTTGTGTCAGCTATTATGTTAGAAATATCAGGTTTAAAATACGCACATATATACTCCTCAATAGGATAAACGTTTTTTTTTTTTTACTTTTATGCAGGCATATGGACTTTATCGGCGTTTACATATTTTTCACATTGGAAAACTCCATCAAGTAAAAAAGTAGAAAAGATTTCATTCGATTTCAAGCTGAGTTAACGAAATTCCGTTATAAACCTAAAAGCCTTCAATTGCGGCTATATCAAGACCATGGCAGAAGAATACAGGTAGATGCATCAACGCTTGGGAGCATTGATATGTCAAAAAAAATGTAAGTGGGTTTTTCAAATATAAGTAGATTTTTATATACTTTCTTATACTACGTCATTCGGAGGCTATTATAATTCGCGTTTTTTTACAAATTTAAATAATTTTTCATTCAACATTTTCAATTCCAAAATTGGTTTGACAGTTCATTGTCCAAGCAGCTGTGTGGACGCGACTACCTATATTCTTCTACCATGATCAAGACGTAGAACGACTTTCAATTTGTTTGTGCAGATTTGACGTAATTTTGAAAGCGAACAAAGTGATGAGAACATGGTATTATAATACCGCCTTTCCATGGTAGAATAATACAGGTAATCTCTTCGTCACAGCTGCTGGGACAAATTTTAAAATTGAAAATGTTGAATGAAATATTCATGGTACAATAAAAAGCTAAGGTAGAGCTCCCAGCTGATTACAATTTTTTCCTAAGTGTGCCCGACTTCTGCCAATTTCGTGTATGTATTTGTTGTTTTGAAAAAAAAAACTAAATATTTTCAAAATCAATCAATCATTAATAATATTAACCAGATTTGCCATGAAATTGAAAGATTGAATCCTTACGATCATATTTTTGAGAGAACATCCAGACATTTCATTCATCTTTTGTGCTATTTGACTCATTTTAGAAATTAAAATATATATATATATAAAATAAGTGAAAACAGCTTGTTGGATATAATTTTGAATAATTCTGACAGGAAGCGGGCATAGCCTCAGAGCTGTATTTCTGTAGTTCAACGAAGCTGTTCTACCTCCTTATTGTCCCATGTACATATTATTCAAATTTGTAGAATGTTTCCTTACTACCATGCATGTTTCATTGAAAATTTTAGTTTTGTTTTGTTACCCAGAGTTAATGTACATTTAAAAGGTCTTAAGGGCATTAGGTTTGGTTCAGCCCATGGTAGAAAATGTCAAAAGTTTTTAAATGTTTTTTTTTTTAATGAGTAGAATTGTATATGTTTCCCTATACGATTGCCCATCGAAGGTTGCATGGTAAAATTAATAAGGTGACTTTATTTCAAATAAAAATATCCATCTCTGCATTTTCTGTAATTTACCTTGTCATATTTCACTGGATAGAAAACTGCATGGTAACATTAAGAAGGTTGTAATGAAATGCATTTTGTATCCTACATATAATTCTATGTTGATTTAATGATGTCCGTCTGTCTGTGTGTTAAAATCACAATACAGCCCACGTAGAGATTCAAAATTTGCCACAACAATTTGTATTGTGTCTAGGACTGTTGGTATTGAAAATGAGATATATCAGTCCGCGTTTTTGTATAGTTACCATATAACGGTACCTCCTAATATTCAGTATTTTGATGATTTTTGGCACATTTTTCCACACACAATTTTTTTCTAAAAATTGGTATTTGTCGGTCATATGAGTTCTAGCTCCTGTGGCAAAACATTGAATATATAGGTCCATGCTTTCCTGTATCGCACATATAACGGTACCCACCGATTTTCCACATTTTCATGGTTTTTGTCACATTTTTCTACGGATTTGTCTAAAAATTGGTATTTGTAGATCATAATGGGTTTTAGTTCCTGTGGCGGAACATTGTATGTATTGGTCCATGTTTTCATATAGCCACCGATATTCCGTATTTTCATGATTTTTTCTACGGATTTGTGTAGAATTTGGTATTTGTAGGTCATAATGGGTTCTAGCTCCTGTGACGGAAGATTGTATTTGTATTTTGATGGTTTTTGACAAATTTTTCGGTTCATTGTCCCAACATTCTTCTACCATGGTTCAGCCCACAGATCCAATAAAATCTCGGTATCTCACTGGCACCGGACACGTCGCTTCTATTCTTTATTTCTATTCTCTTTTTATATCACCCTTTAATTACTTTCTACCATATGTTTGGTGTTTCACTTTTTTTTGTAAGTTATCGACATATGTCAGACAATGCCACTACTGCTGACAAAAAGTGGGAAAAACGAATTCTGAATAAATTTTCACCATTTTATGGGCCATTATTACAAATTTATTGCCACCAGCTTTTCTTTAAATTTGTGTAATATTAAACTATTAACTTTCAATTTTGTCGATAATACAACATTAAAATGTCCGTAAAATATTAATTATATCTTTCTCAAATTTATAGCTATGCAGATTGTATTGCATTAAGAAATTTTTCTGTTCATTTCATTTTGTTTATATTCAATGGACAATCCTTTTAGAATATTTATTATTTGTTTATTCAAGTAGTACTACTATTTCATAAGCATCTCTTATCTCTCTAATCGGAATGGTTTTCTTTTACAATCGCATTGATCTTTGATCGTTGTTTGTCTTGTTTTCATTTTCAATACGATTCGATTTGAAAATTTTCACTATTAATTCTCGGCGTTTTTATAAATAAAACGACCAACACATGCACACAGAAGCATATACATCTACACAGTATTTTTGTTATGCACAACAATTTCAGAAGTGAATCACACCTATTTGTTTTTTTTTTTTTTTCAAATGTTTGTTATTATTATTTTTATTTTTTGAAAACTTACAAGTGGCCAGAAATGTTGTTCTATCAATTCGTTCATATTATTTTCCTGCCATTGTTGTGATGAAACATAAATGCAATCAACCGATTCATGTTGCAATTCCAAACACAATAAACACATATCCATTTTGGATAATTATTGACATACAATTTTCTATCCGAAATATAAATTGTTTAGAATTTTGGCAAAGAATATTGAAAATACTCGCGTTTAAATGTTTCTTTCATCCGCACAACAAACCGCCGACTTCTCGTTTGGAATGTAAAAATAAATATGTTCTCTGTCGTTTGCTCTGTGGGAGGGTGAGCGCAATTCAAAGCACACACACGCACATGTGACATGTGAGTTTTTTTAAATGAGAGCAATGGGCCAATAAGGAATTTTATTCTGTTTGAAATAAACAGATGTTCTTTTCTTCAGAACAGCACCATTTGCTGGTTTAACGGTTCTGAGACATAATAACAGTAGTGTTGGTAAGAGATCATCTCACACAAGCACAGTGTTGGTGTTGGGAATTTGTAAAGAGATTTTAGAATACAGGTGAACTTTTCTTTAGTATATTTCCTTATGTTAAAATTTTCTCTAATAGTACGTTTAAATATATGAGGGTTAACCCACTGGATTTGGATTTAAATTGTCATATCCATTACTTTTACTTCAAATAAATCCTACAAAAAGTTCTAACTTAAACATGGCATAAAACTAATAAAATTTGAGAACACAATATTAATAAGCCTTCAAGCGTGATGCAACATGGAAGCATGATACAATAAAATTAAGGCAGGGTTATGATACTATATGATTTTAATTTTTTTATACCCTACAGCGATAAATAAAACCGCAACAAAGTCAAATGCCATAATTTTTACATTTTTTTTAAATTTTATTGAATGAAAGCAAAAATGTCGGAAATAGCATCAAATTTTAGAATAAGTTTAGATGTGTTCGAATTGGTCAACTTTGGCACGAATTATGGCCTTCAAACGGCCAATGAAACCGTCACACACTGCCCGAAGTTGCTCTGCGGTATTTTGGCCCATTCCCGGTGAAGCGCTTGCTTGAGGTCTTCGATACTTTGTTATTTTTTAGTGCCAACATTGCTTTTCAAAATACTCCAGACACAATAGTCAGCGAATATGTATTCCAAGATTTTGGTGGCCATTGTGCGCTGAAAATGAAGCGAGGAACCTCATTTGTAACCATTCTTGGTTGGCGCGTGCTGATTACGATAGTGCTGAGTGTGATGGTGTTGGAATGTCTATGGTCACCGGCCAAAATGTTTGCGTGCCCAAGGTTTTAATACACCCTCCAGAATATTTTCGCAAAAGTATTCAGCATTTATTCTGATGCCACGGCCGATTACAATTAATTTTGTACGCTTGTAAACAATATAATGAGCTGTCACTGGATAATTTTAACAGCTGTTGGACGAGTGGCTTAGAATTGACAGCAGTCTGAAGTTGATTGCAGTTTTTTCATCTCACCCTGTAGTATGGAGCATGGTTCAATAAGAAAGGTTGCTCAATTTCAAGGAAACTAGCAAAATACAACCCTGCACTGGAGCGTTATTATATCAAATAGACTGTTTAAACATGCCACAATTGTTTTGTTTATTAAACATTTTTTTTTTAAATTCTTATGTTGGGGAAACACACAAAACTTGAATGTAATTTGGGGTTCTCCACAAAAGTGAATCCAGGATAGTAGGACAAGATTGGTTTGTTGTTTAAAGAAAGCGAAATGACCGCTGGTAAAGACACAGTACAATTTGGTATCGATGTAAATATCTTATTAATTTTTTAGTTGTCCGGCGTCTGAGACATTTTTCGTTTATCTGTAATTTGTGTCGTAATGAGAATGCCGCCATCTATTTGTAAATTCTTTATTAGGCTAAAATCGATTTATTGATTCCTGTTTGTAGTTCTAAACAGCTGTTCACCTAGTGAACCCTAGTAAACATTTGAGCGAATTTGCTCTGATCCCAGCTGATTGTGTTTTCCTTATATTTCACTCGTAAATAAAAAAATCCCAGTAGTTATGCATTTCACTCATTCGTAAATAACAGAGTTCTCGAGGGTTTTGTTTTTTTAGTCTTTATTTCTGTTTGCGGGCACTTATTATATTTTTGTTGCTAAAGGTTTGTTGATAAACAATGAGAATGCTGCCATAATTTGTGAATTACCTGAAATCGATTTATAGATTCCTGTTTGTAGTTCCAAACAACTGTTCATTTAGTGAACCCTAGTAAACATTTGACTGAATTCGCTCTTGTGAAATTCTACTTCCAAACAATCGGCGAATTCGTTTAATGTATTCGAAGTACTATTTGCGTAACATAAAAGTAATATTTTGAGCACAATATGAATGGATTAAAATTGGCCAGGGCTCTCTCCGTTTTAAGGTAAGTTGATAAACAACTACTCAAGAGTTTTTCAATAAAAATCTTTTGTCATATTGCAGAGCCGCTTTACCTAAACAACGGTATCGTTTAATGGGCCAAAAAGCCGCCGCTAGAGGCACAGCTGCACCGGCAGAGGGAGAAGTAAATAATCAGCCCATTAACTATTTTGGCAGCGATGCTGCATTATGGCGTGCCAAAGATACACGCAGTGGAGGATCTGACGAACATTTATGGTATCAACCCTATGTCATTTCGGGAAGTTTGGCCATTTTTCTGTTGTATTTTTGCGTTTTGCGCGAGGAAAGTGATATTGATTTAAAATTAGAAGGTAGCCTTTATGAGCACGTGCAGGGCTTGGAAGAAGTTCAACTGTCTATGAACTATAAATACAATAAGGAAAACGGTTTGGATAATACTGAAGTTGTGAAGAGATTAACGGAATTGGGTATTGATGTCAAGCTATTAGATGGTAAATAATTATGGATTAAGTCGAAAATGCAATTATAATAAACTTTTGTTAAGATTTCTCATTGTTAACTAAAACACAGCGTTTTTAAATCTTTTGCAAAAAAGTCAGCGAATGCTAAGGACTATATGATAAGAGCAATGACCTTATAAAGGGCGGGAAAGTTGTGCCAATTTGTATTTGCGTATGAGAGATATGAAATTTATGAAGTCACTCATACTTGCAGGAACTGATGTACTGAATCATAAACCAGACATAACTGTAGGTAGTTATGGGTTCGTCTAGAAGTGTTTTATGCCAAACCGCATCGCAGAACAATTTTCTTTTAAGTGTACAAGTATTGTAGAAATCCAATTTTTTTAATATTTTCCAAATCTCTTTAGAAACAACTCAAGCGGACACCTGCCTGTCAAATGTTTATTTTCATCGCACACACTGCCGACGTCTTAGATTCAAACATCAATTCTCCTTCAACATCGAAGAATTAACCCAAGGGAGAGAATAAATTCAACTTGTAATACCATCTACTTGTTGCTATATTATCATTTTGTCCATCATGTGTTACATTTGTTTTTCCTAATTTATATTTTGGTGGTAAATTACCCGAATATTTGGCACGACAATCTTCTTCCCATTCTTTGGGATGAGCCTTTTTACGGTGGCTATGCATGTTGGCATTCGAGTTGAAAGTTTTCGGACAATATTGACACGTATACAAGACAGTGCCTGTATGTGTAGCCATGTGTTCCTAAAATGCAATCAAAAAAATAACGTATGGATATTAATTTACATTTGTTTTTACATCTCTTACCTTTAATGCACTCGCTCTCTTATAGGCCTTCTCACACAACGTACACTTAAAGTCATAACCCAATTCGTGTTTATCTTTAACATGCTTTTTATGGGCCTTAAGCGTTGGCGAAATTTGTGAACATATATAACAGGGAAATTGTTGCTTACCACCCTCCGGATGTTGAGAGTCTTTGTGTCGTTTAAGACCTCGCTGCCCCGTCACTTTTAGGCCACAAACATCACAAGCTATTGTGGGTATCGGCACACCTTTGTGCTTCAGCATATGACGTTCGAAAACATCTTTTCCTCGCATTTTTTCCCCGCAAACATCACACACCAGGGCATACTTGTTTAAGTGCACAACTCCGATATGATTGGCTAATGAATTGTTATTGCCAAACCTGCAATGAAACTGAATTAGGTACCATAAAAGAAAACCAAAATACCTATATGGCTTACAGTTTACCACATTGGTCGCACGAGAATTTCTTTTCCTCGTCGGATAGATGTATCAGCTTGTGTGTCTTCAGGCCGGTTTTTCTAGAGAAGCCCTTCTGACATATATCACAGACATAAGTTTTATCCTGAATCTCATGTGTCTTTACATGCAATTCTAGGCAACGACGATTAGACATCACTTTGCCACAATGTTGACATTTAAAATAATCCGGATTAAGATGACAATGTATGTGATCCACTAAAAGACTACACTTTAAGAATTTCTTATTGCAGCACACTGCATAACCAGGTTCATTGTGTTCTTTATTGAAATGTTTACATAGCTCATAGAATGTATGCATTGGGGTTTGGCAAATAACACATGTGATTTTGTAATGTTTTGCGAGAAAATCATTAACTTCTTTTCGTTTAGTACGTGGTTTGTAATAAGGATTCAAACGTGGTTTCCAATCTCCTGATTTTTGGGATATATCATTATCATCAGTTTCACTTTCGCTGTCTGAGGCGGCGGAATCTGGTACATCAGCAAATATCATTGCGGGACTAGAAGCACCATCCTTCGCACTGGGTATGTCGTTTTCCTTTATTTTTAAAGAATCATTATCTCCCCCATCATTTGCTTTGGTGACCTTTCGAGCTCTTTTCTTGTGCGTTGGAAAGATTTTTTCCAATGGATCTTCAGTAGTCACATCAGATTTGGAAGAAATTTCATTATCAATACTTATGGGCGGTTCTTCAATTAAAATCTCAGTTTTTATTTCCGGACAGAGATCGGTTACTTTCGTAGTAACTTCTGTTTCATCTTTTGAGATTTCACAAATATTTGTAATAAAACGTCCAGGATGTTCCGTAGACTCCAACACCTCAGTTTTTAGTGCAGAAACGAAATATGTATGTACATCTTCTATATGCAAATAGAATTTATGAAAGTCGTACACGATTTTCCAGCATGCATTGCAAAGCCATGATGTGGGTGTTATCGATTTCTGAATTGGTATAAAAATGTAAATTATATAGAGAGAAAAATCAGAGACATTCAGCTATAAAATGCAGTGATTTAAAAGCAAAAGGCAAAACTAGACTATTCCGATACACCAAATTTTGAGCTACCTGTAATAACTCAAAACGACTCGGAGCCGCTTTAAAGTTAACAGAATTTATAGGGTAGTAGGTCACTAAAAACGTTTCTATATTTATTTTTTAAATATTTGAGCGTTAACTTTCCAGCGACAACATTGTAATAAATCAGGATATGCATTCTGAAACTTGACTCTTCGGACGTTCATCTTTATACAACTTACAAGAGACCAAAAGTGTTTTTCCAATATTAATTCTATGTTCTCCTCTTGCCATCGTGTGGATGCCACTTTAATCCCGTCCACGGGCTCTCCTTTTAGCTCCAAACACAATAAACACATATCCATTTTGAAGATAGTTTCCTTGTGAAACGAATTAGTTCAAAGACAACTTTCACTAAATGGAACTATTGGAACTAGAAGAAAAATATTGCTCACATTTTCCCCTAGCTGAATAGAAAGCTTCTAAACATTCCCGACAGAGTGATAACAAAACTAAACATAGTGGATTGTTTTGGTTATAGGGGAACTAATGATTTAATTAATAATATTTAATATCATTTTATAACACAACTAGTTCTCTAAGGCTTTGGTGGTAAATATGAGCTGAACCAAGGCAAAATGTAAACAAAGAAAGGGATCTATACGCATACTTGTGGCAATGACTATTTAGGGATCGCCAATTCGATATTTAACAACCATAGACGTGGAATTTTGGGGCATTTATACAATTGAAGATTTGGAGCACAATTATACTATATAGGCTTAATTAAATCCAGTGAGTTAATCTTGTGTATTTAGATACACCCTAAGACGACATAAAAACCACTCAGCTGGTGTTTGCTTACGTATGCATACACAAACAAATAAGAACGTAAAAATAAACAAAATGATGTATTAAAAAATTAGAGACAATTAATGTTGCAGAATTAATAATTATTCACCTTCTGTAAGGTAATGCATTACGTATCGTTCAATGTATTATCATGAGATATGAAATGTTAGGTTTTTGTCGTTGTTCCAACGTAAAGTGTAAAGAACGCCGATGTACGACTTTGCAGTGTACCTCAATACTTATGTGAATGAACGTATATTTTTTAACTTCAATTGTCTCGTATTATCTTTTTTGATAAATCATTTTTGGTTATTTTTGCGTTCTTTTTCTCTGCCATGGCCGACCTTATCTTGGCCTTACTTCTACCATTTGCAAGTCAAATGGCAGACAAATAAAACTTTCGGTTTGGTAAATGAAATCAAATAAACTCTTGATAAACAATTATTCAAAAGTTTTTCAATAAAAATCTTTCATCATATTGTAGAGCCACTTTAACTAAACAACAGCATCGGCTAATGAGCCAAAAAGCCGCTGCTAGAGGCACAGCTGGACCGGCAGAGGGAGAAGTAAATAACCAGCCCATTAACTATTTTGGCAGCAATGCTGCATTATGGCGTGCAAAAGATACACGCAGTGGAGGATCTGACGAACATTTATAGTATCAACCATATGTCGTTTCAGGAAGTTTGGCCATTTTCCTGTTGTATTTTTGCGGTTTGCGTGAGGAAAGTGATATTGATTTAAAATTAGAAGGTAGCCTTTATGAGCACGTACAGGGCTTCGAAGAAGATCAGCTGTCTATGAACTATAAATATAATAAGGAAAACGGTTTGGATAATACTGAAGTTGTGAAGAGATTAACGGAATTGGGTATTGATGTCAAACTATTATATGGTAAATAATTATGGATTAAGTCGTAAATACAATTATAATAAACTTTTGTTAAGCATTCTCATTGTTATATAAAAGACAGCGTTTTTGAATCTATTGCAAAAAATGTCAGTGAATGCTAAGGACCATATGATGAGGGCAATGATCTTTAAAGGGTGGGGACTTGATGTCATGGGCAAAAGCGGTAGTTATAAAGTTATGCCAATCTAGTTCGGCCAAACGAACTAGTTAAGTGGATACCGGTCGTTTGTATGAAAATCTGCGTATGAGAGATGGGATATTTATGAAGTCACTCATACTTGGAGGAACTGATGTACTGAACCATAAACCTGACATAACTCTAGGTAGTTATGGGTTCGTCCAGAAGTGTTTTATGCCAAACCGTCCGAGAATGTGTTAAATCATTGCAGAATAATTTTCTCGTAAATTTAAAAGTATTGTGGAAATCCAATATTTTCCAAATCTCTCAGCTTAAGCGGACACGTGCCTGTCAAATGTTTGTTTTCATCGCACGCCCTGCCGAAGTCTTAGATTCAACTATCAATTCTCCTTCAATATCGAAGAATTAACCCAAGGGAGAGAATAAAATCAACTTGTAATACCATTTACTTGTTGCTATATTATCATTTGTTACATTTGTTTTTCCCACATGTAATACCACGCACTTGTTGCTATATTATCATTTTGTTCATCATTTGGTTCATTTGTTTTTTCTAATTTGTATTTTGGTGGTAAATTGCCCGAATATTTGGCACGGCAATCTTCTTCCCATTCTTTGGGATGAGCCTTTTTACGATGACTGTGCATATTGGCATTCGAGTTGAAAGTTTTCGGACAATATGGACACGTATACAAGATAGTGCCTGTATGTGTAGCCATGTGTTCCTAAAATACAAGCAAAAATATACCAATATATGAATATTAAATCACATTTGTTTTTACATCTCTTACCTTTAAGGTACTCGCTCTCTTATAGGCTTTCTCACACAGCGTACACTTAAAGTCAAAACCCAATTCGTGTTTATCTTTAACATGCTTTTTATGGGCCCTGAGCGTTGGCGAAATTTTGGAACATATATAACAGGGAAATTGTTGCTTTCCACCCTCCGGGTGTTGAGACTCTTTGTGTCGTTTAAGACCTATCTGCCCCGTCACTTTTAGGCCACAAACATCACATGCTATGGTGGGTATCGGCACACCTATGTGCTTCATCATATGACGTTCGAAAACGTCTTTTCTTCGCATTTTTTCCCCGCAAACATCACATACCAGGGCATACTTGTTTAAGTGCACAACTCCGACATGATAGGCTAATAAATTATTATTGCCAAACCTGCAATGAAACTGAATTAGTTACCATAATAGAAAACCAAAATACCTATTTGGCTTACAGTTTTCCACACTGGTCGCACGAGAATTTCTTTTCCTCGTCGGATAGATGTATCAGCTTGTGTGCCTTCAGGCCGGCTTTTTTAGAGAAGCCCTTCTGACATATATCACATATAAAAGTTTTATCTTGAATCTGGTGTGTCTTCATATGCAATTCTAGGCAACGGCGATTAGCTATTACTTTGCCACAAAGTTGGCATTTAAAATAATCCGGATTAAGATGACAATGTATGTGATCCACTAAATAACAACATTTAAAGAATTTCTTATTGCAGCACACTGCATAGCCAGGTTCATTGTGTTCTTTATTGAAATGTTTACATAGTTCATAGAATGTTTGCATTGGGGCTTGGCAAATAGCACAGGTGATTTTGTAATGTTTTGCAAGAAATTCATTAACTTCTTTTCGGTTAGTACGTGGTTTATTAAAATGATTCAAACTTGGTTTCCATTCTCCTGATTTTTGGGATGTATCATTGTCATCAGTTTCAATTTCGCTGTCTGAGGCGGCGGAACCTTGTACTTCATCAAATATCATTGCAGGACTAGAAGCACCATCCTTCGCACTGGGTATGTCGTTTTCATTTGTTGTTAAAGAATCATTATCTCCCCCATCATTTGCTTTGGTGACCTTTCGAGACGTTTTCTTGTGCTTTGGAAAGATTTTTTCCAATGGATCTTCAGTGGTCACATCAGATTTGGAAGAAATTTCATTATCAATACTTATGGGCGGTTCTTCTTCAATTAAAATCTCAGTTTTTATTTCCGGATAAAGATTGGTTACCTTCGTAGTAACTTCTGTTTCGTCTTTTGAGGAATCCCAATTATTTGTAACAAAAGGCCCAGGTTGTTCCGAGGCCTCCAATACCTCAGTTTTTAGTGCAGAAACGAAATATGTATGTACATATTCTATATGCAAATAGAATTTATGAAAGTCGTACACGGTTTTCCAGCATGTATTACAAAGCCATGATGTGGATGTTATCGATTTCTGAATAGGTATTAAAATGTAAATTATATAGAGAGAAAAATCAGAGACATACAGCTATGAAATTCAGTGATTTAAAAGCAAAAGGCAAAACTAGACTATTACGATACACCAACTTTTGAGCCACCTGTAATAACTCATATTAATAATACAACAATAAGACACTACAATTCGGAACCGCTTTAAAGTTAACAGAAATTATGGGGCTAGTAGGTCATTAAAACGATTCTTTATTAATTTTTTAAATATTTCTGCATTAACTTTCTAGCGACAACATTGTAATAAATCAAAATATGTACTCTGAAACTCGACTCGTCAAAGGTCCATCTTCATACAACTTACAAGAGACCAAAAGTGTTTTTCCAATATTAATTCTATGTTGTCCTCTTGCCATTGTTTGGATGTTGCTCTAATCCCGTCCATGGGTTCTCCTTTTAGCTCCAAACACAATAAACACATATCCATTTTGAAGATTGTTTCCTTGTGGAACGAATTATTTCAAAGACAACCTTCACTAGATGGAACTATTGGAGCTAGGAACAACAATATTGCTCCCCTAGCTGAATAAAAATTTTGACGCGTAGTGTGCCCAATTTTAATTTTGTTTTAATTTTTTTGCCACCGTCCGCGACGTAAAATTGTTCTATTCCAGAGTTAGATTGAATTGCCACCACGTCAGGGTTGTATTTCGGTCGATTATTTGAGAGATAAATTAATCGACAGTCCAACCCTGCGAGCCTGCGATATTGTAAGGGCTTGTTAGGTCGGTAGCATAAATGAGGTAAATTTCAGGATAAATTTAAGAAAAGCCGAAAAGAGGGAAAATTCAGCGTCATCCCCGATCTTATATAAGGAGGAGGAGGAGGATAATAATAAAATAAAATGTCCTCAAAATTAAACAAACAAACTGAAATTTGAAACATTAACTATCAGGATCTTTTAGTCATTATCTATGGAGTTCACATATCAGACTACCCTTTATTACTTCAAACAAATAACTGACGCCAATTTTGGCTCTTTTAAGGATTGCAACTATCACCTGCCTGAACGAGCTCTTTTAGGTAGCTTGGGGACTCTATCACTTGTCCACAACGATTCAATAATGTGGCGTTCCACTGCACTTGATTCGCTCTCTATTCGTTGTTTGACCCTTAACTATGAAAAAACTACCTAATTCTTCACACAAAATTTCCTGAGCGAACACTCATATTTGTACGTTGTTCAAATCAAATCACTCTCAGAACAACGAAAAAATATGTCCCATCCCTAACAAATGAGAGCATTTATCGAAAAAATAAATTATGACATTTAAAAATTAAAAATAGAAAAATTTGATGAAATTTTAAAAATTTTTGGGAAGACTGAAAATTTTGAATGAAAACTACAATGTTGAATGGCGTATGTACATTGAAACGAAAGTAAATTTTGTTTTCTCTCTCATTCAAGGTACGCATTTGGTCCACGAGTTAAATTTTCCACAGAAAACTGCAAACAAAAGAGGCAATATTTTCAAAATGTTTCTATCGGCAGAAAAAATGTTTGACAAGTGTCTCTCCAGCAGAATTTAAAAATGGAAAAACACAAAAATGTGTTCAAAATGTCAACATTTACACAAAAAGTTGAAATCGTGAATGAAAATTGTAAAATTAATGATATAATAAATCTTTGGGAGGAAAACAATAATTTCTTCTATTCATATTAGTGAGAATTTCATGGATTTTCGTATAAATTCCCATTAAAATCAACAAACAAAATTTTTGAAAAAAGGAATTATTTTACTATGAATTACGAATCGTGCCGTATGAACGGGTTAATTCGTGTTCTTAATTCTGAGAGCGAACAACGTTGTTCGGTTTCCAATGGAAACATGCTATTAAAACCAAAACATACATGTATCAAAACTTAAAGTAATTCGGGGTAACCCTACACTCCAATTCAATTATAAAACTTAGAATTGTTAATGTTCCTTACAAAACATGAATTCTTATACCGAACACATGGTTAGTGTCAAATTCGATATGACGTTTTTTGATTTAATTCCATTTCTTGATATACTATAGGTATACCCTTTTTTGATATAAAATTTCAGAGCAGGGCAATGTGAACATATTTTTTCCTAATAATAGGCGATGGTTCGGAAACTTTTTTGTGGTTAAGGAACAGCGACACCTCGTTAGATAATATATTCGTATATTTCATGTTTCCAAAATTGGAAAATGTAGAATACTTTATGTATGTATGCTGTTTGGTCTCAACTTGAAAGGGATTTTGACTTTTTCACGATTTTCTAGCGATTGCTTGAAGTGTTGAGAGATGAGGACCATCAGCTATCAACTATACATTCAGGGGAATGATGTGAAAGCATTAACACCAAATATCTTAAGAATTATCATTCTGCATTAATAATCCAAATTCCAAAAATGTATATTTTTGAAATTAAAATGATTTATTGAAAATTAATTATTTTGTTTACATTTTTGGACACATAACTCTGTGGTTGTTGTATAACAACACTTGCTGTTACCTGTATTATTCTACCATGGAGGTGAGCCAAGGAAAATTTTAAACAAAGAAAGGGATCTATGCGCATACTAGTGGCAATAACTATTTAGGGACCGCCAATTCGACATTTAACAAGCATAGTCGTGGAATTTTGGGGCATTTATACCATTGAGGAATTGGAGCACAATTATACTAAAGATTAACCCACTGCCTTAATTATATCCAGTGATTTAATCTTGTGCATTTAGATACACCCTTAATGGGGCATAACAAGCACTCAGCAGATGTTTGTTTACCAAAAAATAATGCAAAAATAAACAAAAATGATGTATTAAAGTCAGCTGAAAATGTGCAACTTCGGTTGGCCACCAGAACTCGGGCAGCGTGTGATGGCCGTTTGAAGGCCATCATTCGTGCCAATGGTGATCAATTCGAACAAATCTAAACTTATTCTAAAATTTAATGCTATTTCCGACATTTTTGCTCTCATTCAATAAAATGTAAAAATTATGGCGTTCGACTTTGTTGCAGTTTTTTTATCTCACCCTGTATTTGATAGAACGTTTAATTTTTTTTGACATATCACTGTTCCCAAGCGTTGATGCATCTACCTGGATTCTTCTAGCATGGGTGTATCTCAACACCATGGTAGAAGAATGTAGGTAGACGCGTCGAACACAGCTGCTAGGACAATGAGCTGTCAAACCAATTTTGGAATTGAAAATGTTGGATGAAAAATTATTTAAATTTGTAAAAATTGTTGAAAACGCGAATTATAAAGCCTCCAAATGACGTAGTATAAGAAAACATATAAAAAACTACTTATATTTGAAAAAAACATTTAATTTTTTTGACATATCAATGCTCCCAAGCGTTGATGCATCTACATGTATTCTTCTGCCATGCTAAACACACAAGGTTACAGCCTGTTCAGTAAACTAATTCTTCTATCATTTGCAAGTCAAGTGGCAGACAAATAGAATTTTGGTTTTCGTGCATACGAAAAAAGTAAATAAATTAATCTTAATTAGTATAAATGTGCTATTAGTGTCCTTAAAATTAGGCAAACTTTTTTTCGTGCGACAATAAAGATTGACATTGATGACATTTTTATTTGCTCGTCTCCTGGTTGACTTGCTATAGACAGTGCTTATAATATGATTGTCGATCAATTTTCATTTTCCCCAACCAAAAATGTTTTACGATATGTGGTGGAAGAGTTTTATTGAATCATTTTATGCCAAAACATCAAATTGACAAGATGTTTGCATATCCAACTCTTCTTTCATAGCTTCAGGTTCTTCATAGTTAGGTGGTGAACTTTTTTTGCGATTATGATGCTTTTTGGCATTTGAATTAAACAATGCGGCCATGTGTACAAATATCTATCTGTATGAGCAGCCATTTGTTCCTTAAAAAGATTCAGTGAGAAAGATTAAAAACGGGTAATAAAATTAATTATATTAAAAATACCTTTAACGTTGTTGATCTCTTTACACATTCGTTAAATTGTACATTTGAAATCTTAGCTAGTTTCGCATGTGTATACAATATGTCGTTTAAGAGATTTTTCTGTATTATTGCCAACATCTTCTTCAATTCATTGTTGAAAGGATTTAAATTTTCATCTGAATTAAAACCATTATCCAGATTATCTTCAAAATCTTCTAACGTTCTTTGTGTATCACTGTCAGTATTCTTTTGATCGTTTTCGCATTCGTCTAAATGTTGTACTTTCACAATTGTTATTTTCTTATTAGTTTTTCTGGTTGTACAATATTTAAGAACATGTGCAAAGGATCTTTTCGTTTTTTCCTTTTCCTTTTGTTGGTTACTGATTTCTCATTTCAAGGTTGTCAAGCAAGGTAAAACGTTTGCTTCATCACATTTTGATTAATCTAAACTCTCAATGAAATGATACATTCCTCTTTGTACATCATTAGCTTCCAAAGTGTCCACATTAGTTAAGGTTTTAGATGCACATTCTTTGGGCTTTAGCTTTAATAATGTTTCAAAAGATTTATGTCATTTTCTATTTCAAATAGAATTTGTGAAATTCTCTTAGCATATCCCAGCAATTAATGCAAATCCATGATGCGGAAGCACTAGTTTTCTGAAATGAAAAAAAAGTGTTAGTGGAGTTCTTCGTTTTTTCTACATTCTACATGCTACATTCTTACACGGTAAGGAGAAGGATTTTGTTAAAGAGGTGTTAAAGTGTTAACAGATGTCATTTGGAAACTAATAATTAAACAAATTGTCACCTTATCGGGAGTAAAGGGTGTTTTTTTTAAGTTAGATAGAACTTTAAATTATAAAAAGTAACACAAAATATTAAATTTTGATGAAACTTTTTTTTATTTGTTTCAGTATACTCTGACAAATCATCATGAATAGACTCACGCTTGAACAACGCTCTTCGTTCTTTCGCCAATTGGGCTCTAGAGCAGTTGGCAAATGACCCGTTGTTTTATGGCAAAATTATGTTCAGCGATGAGGCGCATTTTTTGCTTAACGGGTTTGTTAATAAGTAAAATTGCCGCATATGGAGTGAGACCAATCCACAAGAGACCCTACAGACTCCATTACATCCAGAAAAATGCACCGTATGGTGCGGGGTTTTCACGCTGGTGGCATCACCGGACCTTATTTCTTCAAAAATGAGGCCAGAGCTCGCGTCACGGTCGATGGAGATAGATACCGCACCATGATCAATGATTTTATGTTTAAAAATATGGATGACATTGATCCGGAGGAGATGTGGTTTAAACAGAATGGCGCTACGTGTCATACGGCGAACGCAACCATCGACTTATTGAAATCAAAATTTGGCGATAAGTTAATTTCGAGAAGTGGACATGTCAATTGGCCTCCAAGGTCGTGCGATTTGACACCTCTCGACTATTTTCTGTGGGGCTACGTGAAGTCACTGGTTTATGCTGATAAACCAGCAACAATTGACGCCTTGGAGGCCAGCATTGTTCGTTATATTCATGACATACGGCCAGCAGTGCTAGAAAAAGTGGCAAAAAATTGGACGTCCAGAATGCAGTTCATCAAGAACAGTCGCGGTGCCCATATGTATATATTTTCAAATGTTAATGTCGCGTATTGATCTTTCGAATACAAAAAAAAAAATATTGATTAAAATTTAATTTTTTGTGTTATTTTTTTCAAATTCAAGTTCTATCGCGCTTAAAAAAACACCCTGTAGTACAACACAACCCACATTTTATACCCTCCACCATACATAGTATGGAGGGTATATTAAGTTCGTCATTCCGTTTGTAACTCATCGAAATAATAGTTTTAGACCCAACAAAGTATATAAATTCTTGATCTGCCGTCCGCCCGTCTGTTGTAATCATACTACAGTCAAAACGAATTAAGATAGGAGCTAAAATTTTGCACAGATCTGTCTTTTGTCTGGCAGGCAAGTCAAGCCCCCATATAACGGTTCACCGCGATATGCGGTATTTTGATGATTTTAGCCACATTTTCCAATAGAATTGTCTTAAAATCCACACAAGGAGTTCTTTCTGAGTATTTTACTTTTTGAAAGAGAATTGTTATATAGGTCCACGATAACGTACAGCCCTCATATAACGGTACCCCCGATATTAGGTATTTTGATGTTTTTTAAAACATTTTTCAATGGAATTGCTGAAATTCTAGATAAGGAGTTCTTAGTGAGTAATTTACGTTCTGAAAGAGAACTGTCTATATAGGTCCACGATATAGTATATACCCCATATAACGGTACCCCACGATAGTCGGTTCGGAATTGTTTCAAATTTCGTATATAATGTTCGGAACAGTTACTACAGCCTATGACACAAATTATTTATACAGGAGTACGTCTTTGTATAGCCCCCATATATCGGTTTTCATTTGAGCGGTATTTTCCGACGGAATGTTTTTGACATTTTTTAAGTTTCTTCCAAATGGAGGGTATAAGGAGAAGGTGAAGGGTAAAAAAGGTTTGGCCCGGTCGAACTCAGATGCTGTTTTACTTGTTTGTTTAAAAACATTTTTAAAGAAAAAACTCAAAAAGTCGAAAAAATAATCTGATTTTTTACTTTCTTACGCAGCTGATGTCCAAACAAATAACAAGAACAGTTGTACATGTTCGGTTAGATAACAAACTATGGTGTTCTCAAAGCAGATCGGTGAGATAGTCGCATCAGCAATGGTACCATTAATCTTTAAAACTATTCCAACTAACTTCCAAAATTGTTTTCAAATGAAATATTCGTACACAATTTTTTATTAATTACTAGCTGGCCCGGTCCGCGTTGCCGGCCCGTAGTTTTTGTCTATTATGCATATATTCCCAAGCATAATTATTCACAGATATGACTGATATAAGTGTTCACGTACATGTCGATTTAAAGTGTTTTAAAATACCTGTACCCATTTTTAACCAGTGGGCTTCAATATTTAAACCGTGGGCTTCAACTGTGTGGATGTGCTATACAAATCTATTAAAAAGTATATATCAATCTTATCGCCATATAAGGGATCAAATTAATTTTTAATATGGTAAAAATCGTAGCAAAATCTTCCAGTCAAATGAGCAGTAATTTGGAATTTGCTGTATTTTGTATACTACATAATTGAGGGCTGAATGATTTAAGAATAGCCAAAGTTAATTACTTTTTTAAACCCATTAGCAACTTAGATTGTGCATTAGAGTCCTCATAAGTCCTCCTAACCATGTCAGTCTGTTTGTCCGCCAAAAGGTGGACTTGAGAGGGTATTATAACATGGATAAAAATTCTATAATTTGTAGATATGTTGAAATTTTAGTGTAAGATTTTCACCCCCCTAATACGCATTATTAGCCAAATTCTTTGAAATGTGGTTAAATTAGGAGGTACCTTCTTTATATGGGCACTACTCCGAAACACCGACCTACATTGAAAACTTTCTTCTACCCCTTATAATCCAAGATGACAAATAGAGGCCAAATCAAAAATATAGCAGAACAATATAGCATGTCATAGCATTTCGCGTGATTTAAATAAATAAAAATAGTTTTATCCACCTCATAATTGCGGGCAGAATGATAAGATGGGAATTAATTTTATTTGCCATTTAAATCGTAAGTTGGAGACCCCTTAAAAGTACGTTTATATATATGAGGGTTAACCCACTGGATTTGGATTTAAATTGTCATATCCATTACTTTTACTTCAAATAAATCCTCTGAAAGTAAGTTAACCCTACAAAAAGTTCTAACGTAAACATGGCATAGAGTCCATATTTTCATCACAGGATAATTCAATGATGATTAAACAAATATTCGGTCCCGTGCTACTTTCTAATATTTGTAATTTGTTCATGTTTCCACAATTTATTTCATATGGATGCACATCCCAAATCCACGTTCCCAACCACTATTCTCTTGGGGGTTAAAAATTCAATAGAATACACAATTTTCTTTTCTGACCACACATTAGATGTGAAAGTGGACTTGGGGATACTCCAATGTGGGGACTTTACTTAAATAAATTCCTATGTGGCAATTATCTGTATGATGGTTCCCTACCCCAGGGTGGCATAAATAAAATTTTTTAGCCAAATCAATTGATGAATGTGGTCAATACCAATATGGGCCCTACTCTGAAAATTACAAATTTTATGCGAAGAGGTTATCTACCCCCTTAGAAACAAAAATGTCAAATAAGGGCCAAAAAATGAAAAAAGTGGCCGGCCAAGACCCCAAAAATAACTTAAATCATAGATGGTTATATAAATATTAAATCGGGTTGTTCCCTTATCCGTGAGTTATGATCGATATAAAGACCTGCAAAAGTGATTTTAGGTATTTTGAATGTTTGGGAAGAATTTCTGGAAGGATATAAAACCTTTTCTTACTAAAAGTCCAATTCGCTCTACTATTTTGCCCCTTTTATTTCAATATTGGTATGTTACTTATTATTCTCCCAAAGAATTTTGCATTTTGAGCTCTCATTGGACGGATCATTGTCACGCTTTGAAATGAGCCCCATTAAGCTTTTTCGGTCATTTTTGTTTGTTTAAATGTGTTCGCATCTTCCAGATAACCCACAATGTAGGACCTGGAGTTGAAAGGTAGATGTCAGTTAACATCCTATTTCGCACTTATTTAATTTTTTAGTGAAAAATTATTCTTTATTTTGTTCACAAAAAATCCACTGAATTCAATATGATAATACAAATTGAAAAAAAAAAAATTGACAAAAAAAAGAATAACAAATTGAAAAAGTCTTCAACTTTTTCGCTGATTTTTTACAGCAAATGTTTTAAGATCCTTCCTTACAAAGTTTGTCAATAGAATGTACTATTACTTTAAAATTCGATACCATTGAAAATTTTTTGATTTTTGCAATGAGATCTCTTTTTCATGATTTTTCAGCGATTTAGAAAAAGTAATTATCTTTTAACTTTGGTGTGACCGCGTTAAATTATTTCGATATCATCTATTCCGTTTCGCCACCACATAATTCGCTACTACACTTCCATGTAACCCGCCATCAATTTCAGTTCTCAAGAAATCAAGTCAATTAAATAAATTGGTATTAATATTTGAATTCAAAAATAAAATATAAAAAACACTACAAATGTACATTAGAAAAAAGTAAGCCAAAATGGAAAAAAATCATGCAAAATAAAACATTGCTATTGTACATTTGAAAAGTCAAAATGAAAATGTTAATATATCACATTTTTACGCGATTTTTTTGGATATTATCCTTTTCGGAGAGGAGACAATTCCGAATTTGTATGAGTCGTTAAAATCAGTCCAGCGGTTCTTAAGTTATAAGCGTAGTAACTAACACAACTTTCTTTTATATATATAGATTTGGATTTTATTTGTATGCGTGTGTGTAATTTAATGTTAGCTTACAAACTAATACTACAGCCTATCTTACATATCCGCCATACCTTAAGTGACCTTAAAATCAATTTACAGTATTCCATTATATTTGGAGAAAAATTATCTTCAAACGAAGATAGACATAAACTGCATATTAATACAGAATCTTTGATTGGGGGACAATAAATTAATTTATTGTAATCAGAATTTAAACGGACTGTAGTAAACAAAAGACCGGATCATTATTTTGAAAAAATCTTAATACCATAATTATACTTATTGATAGTAAACTTTAAAAATAACTATTGAAAAGTAATATATATATACAACAATTTATCCCATATATCATATTTTTGACGAAATTCAAATGATAAATATTAGAAACATAAAAAAAATATTTTGTTTGACTCAAATTAAGGCATAGCCATTGAATATGTTATGTTTAAAGAGGAGTTTTGAAATGGTGGCTGCTGACTGGGTATTATGGCTGTGGCAGGTGATGCTTTGGGCACAATTGGTACCAACAACTTGTTATCTTCATCACAATCAAAGTTATCGCTACTTTTTCGATTCTTAAGGATTTTACTGCCCTGTTTGGCTTGTCTCATTATATTGGGGGGTATAGGTTTACTACGATCTGCCTCCCATTCGGTGCGATGTAAACGTTGGCGATGTTTATACATATTGGCATTGGAGCAAAATGTCATGGGACAATTGGGACAGGTATATAATACCTCTCCGGTGTGCACTGATGTGTGTTCCTTAAAAGAAAAACGAATTAATACTAAAATAATTTATGTTATGTATAGCGCCACAACTTACCCTTAAATCCTGAGCCCTTTTGAATGCCTTCTCACACATGGTACACTGGAATTTCTTGGCACACTCATGATTATGATAAATGTGCCGTTTCAAGGCTCTTGCCGTTGATGAGACCTTATTACAAATATGACAACGATGTTCGGCATCAACTGATTCGTGTATATTTTTCATGTGCTGTTTTAAACCCGCCACATGCCTCAGCCATGCACCACAAATTTCACATTGCTGTGGTATCGGTATTGGTTTTGGTTTATCTGAATGCTCTAGCTCATGATGTTTTTTCAAACTATAACCACTTTTCAGAGTTTTGCCACATTTATCACAGATCACTGAACGTTGTGGATCGTGCACAGATTTCATGTGATCTTTTAGTTTACGATCTGTTGGGCATCTGCAATAAAGACAATAATAGATAGAGATTTATTGAAATTTTACAAAATAGCGATGTAACTTACAAAATTGTTATTGAGGATCCACAAAAAGTGTTTTAATTTTTTTTTTTTCATTTCATTAATTCACTTTTTTATATTCACCACCAGAATTGAAACTTATATGATTAAGCGGAATCGCGTAGTATCCATAATAAATATAGCGGGCATAACTTTGCCAGAGAAGAATTTTTATTTTTTTGAATATAAAAATTCACAACGTAATGGGGGTTGAAACAAAAAGTTTGCTTTACTTCGAAAAATTGTTGTTGTCACAGATTTAGAGTAATTATACTTATGTTTTATTTTTGAACAAAAAATCTTCTCGAGTTTTGCCTTGTTAAGGCGAAGATCATATGTTTTATGATTTATGTGTTTGTTTTCTCTTTCGAGACGAGCTTAATGATCAGGAATTTGCAGTGAAAAGGAAAGCCAGATAGACACTATCACACACTCACCACTATGCGACGCGTTTCGCCGTTGGTTAAGCGGCTCATCAGGCATATTTGGTGTGGATGATGGCTTACAAGAGCCGTTCTCTGGAAAGTAGTATATATTCCGAACTTATTGCAAATTAGCATATGCGAATTATACACTAGAAACTCTCCAGGTTCGACTCATGTTCTATTGGCAGATCTTTTTCACAGCAAATTTTTTTTTTTTTTTTTTTTTTTTTTTTGTAGTGATGGATTTTTTGTCCACAACAACTACATTGCTTCCAATGCATACACTTGTTTTAGTGCTGCTTTAGGAAGACGGGTTAATGGCTCTGAACGTATTTTGAATAATTTTTATTTTTTTAGATTGGCAACCGCATAATGTTCTGTGGTGTGTAAATTGTCCAACATAAGATTTAACATTTCGGCTCCAATATGGGTTTCAATACTTAGCTAACAAAACGTTCTTCTATTTACATACTGAGCGTAAATCATTGCAAAAGAATAGTGAATTATATAAATTCATATAAAACTAAAATAAGTCGAACAAATCGAAGCTCACATAGGCCAGGTGTCCATATCTATGAAAAGTACCAGAGCTCAATATACTTTACTCAACAATAAATCGAAGATTGGAAGAAGACAACTGACATGAGACCAAAATAAAAAAGCCTCTCACTCAAATGAATTAAGGACTTGGGAGCAAATATTCTCAGGCACTTTCGAAATGCTTCATAATTAGATTGGTTATCTTATATCCATACTACCCTTCAATCTATGTACAATTTTACGTTTTTTCTAAAATCTTTAAAAATATATCATAATACCAAGGGCCTATTGGAGCCCTACTAAGGAAACGTAAAAGCTTATTGTTCTTTAGAAAAATTATTGAAAAAACCTTAGAGCGTTGCAGAAATCAATTCCTTATCGTTTATTTACAAACTGTTGCCCTATCACTGGATATTAGTTTTGTTTTCAAATTTCATTACAACAAAAGAAGGAATATTTGCTATTATCACATAATATCCACTAAGGTAGGGGGGCATTTGCTTTTTATACCCTCCACCATAGTAGGAGGGTATATTAAGATTGCCATTCCGTTTGTAACACCTCGAAATATACATTTTATACCCCACAAAATGCATAAAATTTAATGTCGATTTAGCGATGTCCGTCCGTCTGTGGAAATCACTCTAGCTTCCGAACGAATTGAAGTAGATTGATAAAATTTTACTCAAATGTATATTATGACTGCAGGACTTTTGGTATTGAAAATGGGCCATGTAGTTCCACCTTTTGGTATAGCCCCCATATCACGGTACCCCCCTATATTCGGTAATATGATGATTTTAGCGACATTATTCACCGGAATTGTTTCAAATTTGGTGTTTGAAGTTCGTAATGGATACTACAACCTATGTCAAGAAATTGTCTATACAGGTCCACGTCTTCGTATAACGGTACTTTCCTATATTTCGTATTTTGATGATTTTACCTACTTTATTCACCCAATTTTTTTATTCAAGTTTCTCATTTGAATATTGCAATGATTTATGACAAAATTTGCCTATGCAGGTCCATGTCGTCGTATAGACCCTAATATAACGGCTACATTCGGTATGTTTTAGATTTTAACAGAATTTTTAACGGATTTTATTTTTTTTTTGAAAATTGCCAAAATCGTTCCAAATAATGGAGGGTATTCAAAGATCGGCCCGGCCGAAATTACAGTCTTTTTACTTGTTGTGCTTTCTTTTATGTCTCAAACAACTCCAACTTTCGTTACTATGTTTTTTTTTTTGCTAAATAAGACCAGAGATAGTAGAAAAATTGAAAATTCGGTACTCACTTTTTCTTACATTCAGGACACTCGAACTTAAATTCTTCGCGTGGGACATGCTTCGCCACCATATGATGTTCAAACGATGCCTTCGATGAGAATGTTTTCGAACATTTCTCACATTGGAAGGTCTTTTTGTATTTTGATTCGGGTGGATTGGGCAGATGTGTTTGCTCGTGAGCCTCCAATTGTGTTGAATCACGACATATTTTATTACATGTTTTACATTTAAAGTGCTCGGGGTTGTAGTGGACCATAATGTGCTCAGCTAAAAATTTACGCGTGGCAAATCGGCGGCCACAACACTCGACAAACCCGTGATCATCGTTGTGATCGATTCTGAAATGGGCACGCATCTCACTGAACGTTTGCACCAGCAATTCACATTTGGGACAACGTAACTTCTCAAAGAACTTGATAATGATGTTATCGTATTCGGCTTGTTGAGCTTGGCGGGCCGCAATATCCTCTTTGGACATACGTTTGGGTTCGGATGCGGTCTTTTCCCGTTTCTTATACTTTTTGGGCGTATTACGTTCCTTTTTCCGAATAACACCAAATTTCTCTGATTTAACCTTATCGGCCATCCAGTCAGAGGCATCCGAATCATTTTCATCTTCGGATTCGGAATTGGAGGATTCATCCGAATCTTTGGCTACAAAATCATTGTCTCCATACTCAGGGTCATCGTCGTCGTCTTCGTTGTCATTTGTAAAGTCGGGTATCTCGAAGGGTTCATTACTTGGGTCAACTGTACTTGGTTTGTCTTCACTTTGATGATCCTGCGCCATTTCCCCCTCGGTTTTGATGTGTGTGGTCGACGTTGCCGCCGATGTTGAACATGATGGTTCTTCGCTTTCAGCGCCCTCACTTTTAATTGTGGCCGCAAGTGATTTTTTGGAATTGCGTTTACGTGCGACGGGAGTCTTTTTGGTTGCCTGTGACGCGGCTTTTGCTGCAGCCTTTTCAGCTTCCGATTTGCGAGGCCTACCTCTCCTGGGCCGTGCTACTTCTTTTTCATTATTATCGTCCTCATGTAAAACATCCAAAGAAGGGGGTGGCAGTAATGGTCTATCAGAATCCTCATCGCTGGAATCGTGGTATACATGAGCACTATCACCAAAGACATCGTCGCCATCATCGTCCATTTCCTTATCCAGAGCAGGTGAGGACTCTTTTTTGATACGTTTCGCTGTGGTCGTTGGTTTAGGACTTTCACCCCTCGTAGAAGCAATGCGTGTGCGTCTACTTTTTACATCTTCATTGTTGCCATCTACATCGTCTGCAACTCCCCCCATCGATGACATATCATGTTCAGTTTCCAAGATTTCTATTTGTGGCAGCAGATCCAAGTCATTTACTTCCACCTTGACTTCAGGATCAAACAAGTTATTGCCCATAGAAGAGTGTCCCATTATGGGATCTTGTAGCATCATAGGCACGGGGGTATCTTCAGATTTGAGCATAACTACATCGTGCTGAGGTAGCGGATCATCTAGTATATCTATTGTGTGTACAGCTCCCAAGTGTTTGTGGGCCTCTTCGACTCTTTCGTATAGTATATGAAAGTCTCGCACAACTTCCCAGCATGTCATGCAAACTTGCTGCTTCTCGTCGCCATTACGATATGTCTGTATACACGTCTGTATACACACAAAATAATTGCATTCAAGGCTGATGTTCTTTATGGAAAAATCGATTTTTGCAAACGTCAACTTACCTTTATCCAAAAGTGTTTGTTAATAATCGAACTTATGCCCAGACGCAAGCCAGCCTCGGAAAATATGTCCAAGAACTTTGGCCCCGGTATCGTAGGGTATTCCAGACACAGAATACACTTAACCATGTTGTTCGTTACTAAACAAACACTGACCACTCCGAAATTCTTTGCATACGGGCTTTCTTCAACCGAGAAATAATAAATTTGATGCTAAACGTTTATACGCGAGCAGATACATTGTCTATACATAAAATATGTATATGTGGTTAAAATACAAAAAGTTTACAAATAACAATTTACAATTATTTTTCCAAATGTTTGCCTATCTTCACACAATAGATCAACAAAATTGTTCGACGCTGTATAACGCTACATCTGGGGAGAACAATGCCGATAAAATTGTGTGACGGCGTTAAAATGTTTTCAAAAAGGAAAAAACTCGGCAGTGTGATTATGCCGGTAATTTCTTAACTGGGAGGGTGAGAAAAATGCAAGTAAAAACAAGTTGAAAACCAGTAAGGTCGGCCGAGCCGAACTTTGAAATCCCTCCAACGTTTGGAACGAATTTGGAAATTTTAAAAAATTAAAATCATTTAAAAATTCTTTTAAAATCTTAAAAATACTGAATAGAGCCGTTATATTGAGGTCTCTACGACGTGAACCTACACAGAAATTGTTTGTCATAAGCCATTACCATATTCAAATTCGAAACTTGAAATAAACGGTGAATAATGTAGCTAAAAGCGTCAAAATACCGTATATAGGGAGGTACCGTTATTTCGGAGCTATACGAAGACCTGGACAGCACAGACTGTAGCTTCCATTTCGAACTTCAGATACGACATTTTAAACAATTTCGGTGAGTATTGTACCTAAAATCGTGAAAATACCGAATATAGGGAGATACTGATATATGGGACCTATACGAAGACCTGGACCTGCATACACAAATTTCTGTCACAGATTGTAGTTCCCATTACGAACTCTAAATACAATATTTGAAACAATTCCGTTGAGAACTGTCACTAAAATCATCAAAATACCGAATATAGGGAGGTACCGTTATATGGGGGCTATACGAAGACGTGGACCTGCACAGACAATTTTCTGTCTTAGGCGGTAGTATCCATTTTGAACTTCAAATACCAAATTTAACCACTTCCGGTGAATAATGTCGCCAAAATATCGAAAATCCGTAGGAACCGTTATATGGGGGTTATATGAAAACGAGGACCTACATGGCCCATTTACGAACTTATCCTGCCTACTGGAAAAATAAACATGTGTGTAATATTTTAGCCTTCTATCTCAATTCGTTCGAAGATAGCGTGATTACAATAGACAGACGGACATCGCTAAATCGACTTAGAATTTTACACTGATCAAGAATATATATACTTTGCTGGGTCTGATATGAGTATTTCGAGGAGTTACAAACGAAATGACAAAGTTAATAAACCCTCCATAGTATGTTGGAGGGTATAATAAAAAACTATATAACATTTAACTTTAGAAGCACATAGACAAAATGCGTTTTGGCCATTATAAAGGTTTGCGTGCTAAGCCTGTGGGCCATTTACACCTTTCTCTACCACAAAACAGACAAAGGCATTGAGAAAATAAAAACATTTCAATGTTGCGTTTGACTGTTCACACAAATATTTCCATTCCCATTACCTTTCCTAAAAAGAATTGCCGAAACTAAACTTGATTAATGTAAATTCAAAATATTTGAAATCCAAAAAAAAAAAAAAAAAAAATCTTATAATTTTATTATCAAATAAAAATTACTAAAAAACTAAGGAGTAGCACTAATCTTTTATATTGTTTACATCCTCGTAATCGAGATATGGTTTTGGAGTAGGTTTCTCTTGTGTAATATATTTTGTATATTTTAAATTTGTTATATAACTCAAATATTATAAATAATAATTTATACAATATTATTTTGAGTTCTTTCTACAATCTTTATTGGCATACGCACTTTTATACCAAAACATCAAATTGATAAGATATTGTTTGCATCTCCAACTCATCTTTCATAGTTCCAGGACCTTTGTAGTTAGGTGGCAAATTACCCGAGTATCTGGCACGGCAAGTTTCTTCCCATTCTTTTGGATGAACTTTTTTGCGATGATGATGCATATTGGCATTCGAATTAAATGTTTTTGGACAATGCGGGCATGTATACAAAGCTGTGCCCATATGAGCAGCCATGTGTTCCTTAGAAATAATCAAAGAGAAATATAAAAAAGTTGGCAGGTAATTAAAATTTCTTCTATCTAAAATACCTTCAACGTTGTTGATCTTTTAAAACCTTTATCACAAATTGTACATTTAAAATCATATCCAGTTTCATGTTTGTATACTATATGTCTTTTAAGAGATTTCAAGGTCGGCGAAACTTTCGGACATAAATGGCATTTAAATTCCTTTTTACCATCCTCTGGGTGCTGGGTTGCAATGTGACGCTTTAGATAAGATGGATCTGTCATTTTCAGACCACAAATATTACAGGTAATGGTGGGTCGTGGAATTCCTTTATGTTTCAGTTGGTGTCGTTCAAGGGCATCTTTACCACTTAATTTCGCTCCACAAATATCGCAGATATGGACATATTTTTTGGAATGTACAAAACGAAAATGGTTGTTCAACAGGAATTTATCAGCAAATCTTTTGTAGAAAAAAATTAACATTCATGTACACATTTATATTAAAACTTAAACAACTTACAGTTTACCACATTCTTCACAGGGATATTTCTTTTCTTCATCAGGTAAATGCAATAATTTATGCTTCTTCAGTGTCGAGGCAAGTGTAAAAGCCTTTCCACAAATATCACAAATTTCCGATCTTTCTCTCACTTTATGGTTTTGAAAATGATTTTTCAAACAAAATCGATCGGCAGTCACTTTACCACACAAATTACATTTAAAGTAGTCGGGGTCTAAATGGCAATGTACATGGTCTACCAGCAGGCTACGACTGGAGAATTTCTTCTTACAGCATCTCACATAGCCGGGTTGTTTATGTTCTTGTTGAAAATGTTTGCACAGCTCCTGAAAGGTTTTCATTGGCGATTTACAAATGTCGCATGTAATACTCAAATTCTCTGTTAAGAAGTCATCGGCTTCTTCTTGTTTCGTTTTGGGAGGAAATATAAATAAAGTTTCAGTTTCTGTATTATTGCTAACATCTTCATTTTGGCTCATTACATTGTCGGAAGGATTTAAATCCGCATCTGAGTTAAAACCCACATCCAAGTTTTCAACGGAATCCTCTGGATTTCTTTCTGTTTCACTGTCGTTATCCTTTTGATTGTTTGTGGGTACGTCTAAATGTTGTACTTCCGCAGTTGTTGTTTTCTTCCTAGTTTTTCTAGTTGACATCCTGGATTTTCTGGTTTGTATAGTATTTACGGACGTTTGCAAGGGATCTTTGCTTCTTCGAGTCCTAGGAGCTTTGTTCAATTGTTCGGCCACAATTTCCTCTTCTTGGTTATTAGTTTCACATTTCATTAAAGCCAAGCAAGGTAAACTCTTTGCATCGTCACATTTTGATCCATCCAAACAGTCAATGCTTTTATCATTGCTCATAGTAACATCATTAGCTTCCAATGTGTCCGCATTTTTTGTTGTTTTAATTTCGCAATCCTCGGGTTCCAACTTTAACAATGATGTAAAAGACTTGTGGCTATCTTCTATGTGCAAATAAAATTTGTGAAATTCTCTGACCATGTCCCAGCATTTCGTACAAATCCATGAAGTGGAAGCAATGTGATTCTAAAAATGAAATTAAAAAAAAATTAATTTGAAGTGCTTAAACAGAGGTTTCTCGCCGATTGATCTGAAATTGTTACCACAGGTTCAATAACCAACAAATGAAGTGCAGTTAAATGCTCTTCATTTAGGAGACACATCCCTACATTGATTTAGTTAATCTGGTCAGAGCACGTATGTCCATCTGTGGTAAAATGTTTGATCAAACCGCTTCCGCTATACTCACTAATGGCCAGAAATGTTTTTGTATTATATCGCCCATCTTTTCTTCTTGCCACTGGTTTGATGTTACGAGAATACACTCGGGGGATTCTTGCTTGGGCTCCAGGCATAGCAGACAAACATCCCAAACATCCATTTCAATGTTATGATATGAAAATAAAGGATGTCCCCAACGAAAGAAATAAGAAGGCAAACGAAAGGATAAAAAATAAACGAAAAGAAAATCACCAAAAACTCTTTTGTTTACAAATGAATGAAATGCATAAGTCCCGAGAACTCTGCTGTTTACGTATGACATGAAGACAACGCAATCAGCTGGTAAATATATGCTTCTTCTTTCTTTTGTTTAGTTCATCCACAGCAAATCGATAACACAAGTCTCACCTAGTAAGGCAACGTTTACATTGAAGCCTGTAACAGCGGTAATTGATTAGTAAGTTATCATTGTAAAATGCGATTTAAATCACAATTCAAACCCATAGCTTGTGAGCAGGTGATTAGTTCGTCTACTGTTCATAAACCTTGTTTGCAGTTAGTTCACTCACAAAAACCAAAGAAAGTATAAATCAATACAATGTCATACAAGGTCGGTCAGTAATTCCATCTTACTACAAAGTTCGCTGTGAAAACTCATAATTGGCGGATATTTGTCCGCTCATTAGTTTGAATCAAATTTTGTAGTACTAACAGAATTAAATCAATGAAGGTTACATTTTTTTTTAATTTTACAGCATTTATTTTTGAACATTTTCATGAACAACATTCTTCGACATAGAAATGTCCTTCAACTTTTTACTTTTCAAAATTGTAGGTAGTTTGATGTTAGGTGGTAACATACCCGAATATCTGGCACGTACAGATTCTATCCATTCTTTGGGATGAGCTCTCTTGCGATGAAGATTTCTATTGGAATTTGATTTAAAAGTTCTAGGACAATAGGTACATGTGTATAAATCATTACCGGCGTGTTATGTGTTCCTCAAAAGAAAAATAATATACTGTAATTTTTCTTTTGTCGTAATTTTCCGTTTTTGTAATTTTCCTTTTGGCCTACATACCTTCAGGGAAACAGATCTTTTAAAAGCTACCACAAATCGTACATTTAAAATCGTGGCTTGTCTTATGAATACATACAATATGCCTCTTAAACGCCTTTAATGACGTTGAAACTCTCGAACACAAATGGCATTTAAATTATTTTTTACCACCCTCTGGATGTTGCAATGCCACGTGCCTTTTTAAATAATTTTTATTTATAACTTTTAGGCCACATATATTACACATATATTTCACAGGCGCTTGAAGATTACCCTGGTGTCGTTTAATGGCATCTTTACAAGACAGTTCTATGCCACAAATGTGACAGACTACGGCGTGCACTTTTACATGCACTGTACGAAAATGAGTTCTCAACATTGTGTTGTCAGGGAATCTGTTTTAGGCAATAAATGAATATATGTTTGAAAAATTAATTTAGAATAAACCGTAACTAACATACAATTTACCACATTCTTGACAGGGATACCTCCTTCCTTCGTCGGGTAAATGTGTAAGTCTATGCCTTTTGAGAAACAAGTTTCGGGTGAAACCTTTCCACATACATCACAAATTTTAGATTTATCTTTGAACTTGTGACCATTAAAATGATTAGCTAAGCAAATTCGATCCGACATTGCTTTACCACACATGTTGCATTTGAAATACTCAGGATTCGAATGGACATGATCAACTAGTAAGTTTCGCCTGGAGAACTTCTTTTTACAGCATATCATATAGCCAGCTTGATTGTGTTCTTGGGTAAAATGTTTTGATAGCTTTGCAAATCGAAGTCGCTACTTATTATCAACTGATAATTGGATTAACTGTCAAAATATTGAAATTGAATCACTTACTTTTTTGGAAAACCATGTATTTCATAAACAATTTTGATTAGTTTTTAAATCAAGATTTATTAAAAAAATATTCAAAATACAATAAAAACAATTTTTATATAATACAATGTCATTCAAATTCAATTAATTAATAATTAATATATAATGTTTTTAATAAACATATTGTTTTAGTACACCAACATTCAATGAAAAAGTAATGTTTAAACTAAGTGTTAAGCCTAACATGTTTTCTTAAATCGCCTTTAGATTGTCAATTACTTTGAATTTACTTCAAAAATGTAACTAATCTTCATTAAACTCATAATTTAGATTTCGGTGTAAAGCAGAGAGCTTGTGTGAAAGGAACATGCGGTGACTGCTTGTGTTGCATTGCCTTTTTTTTTTTTTTTAAAAATCTACACTACATTGACATTATCGTGATTAACTATTTTATATTATTGTGTGTAAACACTATTCAAAAGCAGTTAGTTGCAATAATGTGAACATAGCTTAACTAAACTTTATATTAGATTTTTATTGAAAATCAACTATTGGCTGTTTCGTGAAAATTCAATAAACACCTATACAAGTGAAGTAGATTTTAATTATATATTTATTAAAATGAATTTATTTTTTTTTAAACATAAGTTAAATTAAAAATCTTAACAAATATATGCACTTGGCTGATGTATATATAGAATTATTAAGATTTCCTAAAATAACTCGAATGTCGAATTTAAGAATAATTAGAATAGAATAGTATTTCAAAGACAATATATCAAGCAATGCCTGATGCTTGGCTGAGGCAAACAGACATTGCACGAAATTAGAAATGTCTAAGAGCGTTTACATGCAAGTTTTTGCAGTGATTTATTATGGTAATGAACCAATCACCATAATCAGAAGACATGTTTCCACTAGTCAAAATTATTGTGATTGGTCAATTACTACTGTCAAATGACATACAAATGTGAATGTTAACAAACTTTTAATTCTAAAACATATATTTCATGGTATTTCCGCTCTAGGTTTATTGTGAGCATTCCTTGAAATAAATAAAAATCTATAAAATCGAAAGTTTGTATTTTCTGTTACAAATGAGCTTGGCTGCTGCTCACGAATAACATTACTTTACTCAAATTTAAAAATACATTAAAACATTGTTTAATATATTAAGCCTCATTTACACCGAATACGCTTTAATAAAACGCGTTTTTTAGAAAGAAATTAACATCGGCTTCAAAGTATTTTTGGCAGCATTAAAACTACGGTATATTGCATTTCCTCCACATAAAACAACACTTATATTTTTAAAATCAGGAAACATGATAGAAGGATATAGTTAGACGCATCGACACACCTGTTGGGACAATGAACTGTCAAACCAATTTTGGAATTGAAAATGTTGAATGAAAAATTATTTAAATTTGTAAAAAATGTTGAGAAACACGTGTTAAGAAATTTAAAAAATTTCCGACATATCAATGTTCCCAAGCGTTGATGCATCTACCTGTGTTCTTCTAAAATGTCAGAAAATTGTAATACTTGCATTTGGCTGTTATCCAAATATTACGTTGGAGAATTAAGGATACTTTTATAAATAAATTTTTTTAATTAAAATAAAATTTGGAACAGTTTTGGGATTTAAAAAAAAAACTAAATTTATATAAAAAAAAATTAAAATTTTATAAGTTTGATTTCGACTATCAATTGTCCATGGCTGAAGAACAAATAATACTCGAAATCATTAAATCATTTTGTATTTCTTAACATGTCATTCATTTTATATTAAAAATAAATAAAAAAAACTTTACTAAATAGGGATCCATAGATGTATAATGGCTCAATCATTATTTGCCAATGGCTGTTTAGCAAATAATAGTTGATATTTACTCTTCTTTTGAATACTCGCCACATCAAAGATTTTCACTGGGCTTTAAACATTTAACAAAAATTGTAAAAGTACATTTATAAAAAAAACTCTACCCGGGTTAACCCTGATTGACTAATCACAATAAACTTAACAATGTAAACCATTCATTAAATTTATTGTGATTGGTAAATTATCACGATTAATCCGTGTACAGATTATTTATCTAAACAGAATGAAACTTAAATAGTGACTTCGCGCATGGTAGAAGAATACAGGTAGTCGTATCGACACAGCTGCTGGGACAATGAACTGTCAAACCAATTTTGAAATTTAAATTTATAAATGAAAATTTATTCAAATTTGTAAAAATTGTTGAAAAATATCGTAACAACATCTGATTGGTGTCATATACATATAAAAATCAACTTATTTTTGAAAATACATTTCAAATATTTTGACATATCAATGTTCCCAAGCGTTGATGCATCTACCTGTATTCTCCTACCATGCTTCAGCATGAGAATACAATACTGTTGCCACTTGTAAATGATAACAGTGCAGTATTTTCAAGTTTCGTTTAGCCAAAAAATGGCAACAGTGTTGTAATTTCACGCCAAAGTCATGATTAAATCTTTGATCTGTTCCCCAAACGAAAAGGTAGGGGTCTATAGATCGATTGTTTAAAAGGGTGTAATATCGACTAAATATGTTTTTGTATTTTAAACGAATCCCTATTTGGTATAATAAATCAATTGTTTTCATTATAAAATTTAAACATTTAAATGTTATTTGCTTATGGCTGCAAACCAAACAACATTCAAATGTTGAAAAAAACTAAACATTATTTTTCTGTTTTTTTTTGCTTGCTTGTTATATCCTTAACTACTTTTAAAGCTTTTAAGTACACCTTTTTCTCAATTAATATTTGATTTCATTATGTACATATATAAATTATAGTTGTTGTTGTTTTTTCTTTTGTTATCAATTTCCCAATGGCATTTTCAGTAGAGTTTTGTTATTTCTCTACATTTTGTTATATTTTTTCTTTTATGTTTTCTAATAAAGCAACATATCTATGCATATAAATTGTTTGTTGGTCTAACATATTTAACTTGTAAACACGGTTAATCAAAATTAATCGAGAATATATCCATGTGTACGATATTTCTTTTATACTTTATCGTATAAACGTTCCACGTTTTATATTTAGATTCATCTTGATAAACCCTGTATTAAAACTTCGTTTACCTTAAATTCACACTAAATATTATCTACACAGCATTTTGTTTTATATGGTTTAAACCTTTTAACAATATTAAATTTCTAATATATATTTAATTTATTTGTATATGTTTTTAGATTAGCGTGTCTAATTTTAATTACAATGTCTATTACATATTTATTTTGTTTGTTATAATTCTCATTCAATTCGTTTATATAAGAAACCTAAGTACGTTGTATATGAAATTTGCATATTTTGTTTTCAATTACTTACATTTATAAAACTGATACATTGCATTTAGTTTTTTTAAGGTGAGTTTAATTAAAAAATAAAAAAGCTTGTTTTTTTTTTTTGGGTTTTGTGTTTTCACTTAAAACTAATTCCCTAAACAGTTTTGCATATCGAGATGGGGTTTTACTATTTTTCAGCTTCTCTTCTCTTGTTTTTTGAAGGGTGGGTATTTTTCTTGTTAAATTTTTTATTACAAAAAAATTAAGTATTTGTTTTAACAAATCATAATAATATGTGTCGTTTGTTTTTTTTTTATCTAAATGCTATACATAATAAATTTGAAATCTGGCAAATGGTTGATTTCAAACCTCTGATGCTTCTTTGGTATCGGTTAAGCGAACTTGTGTTGCATCAGCTGTAACACCATTCACCGATACCTGTTGATCACGCCAAGGTGTGGTAAGAATTCGCAAGCGTTCCTTCAATGTACCACGGGTAGTGCATAGTTTATAAATTGCCACGGCGGGTATCATCATAACCGAGGAGCCGGCAATACACCAACCCAAAGCATTGGCCCAACGTGGATAAGTATAGTCTTCATAGGAGAGTGGCTCATAACCAATCAATCCATAGACCGTGATGAAAAGCAAAAATAAGGGGGCCACAAAGCGCCAACACACTTGCCAATATTTACCAGGTCGGAAGCCGATCATATCACGTATATCTTCACAGAAACGATTGGTTCCTAATTTCGCAAAAAAAAAAAACAATAAATAGGCCACATAAAAACACTAATAAAAATGTTACAAACCATATATCCACGAAACAGCAATAGCCTCAAAGAATACCGCCACGAGAATCGAATATCCGGCTGCATAACGATCCAAAAGTTGAAAGAAGTAAAAGCCACCTTGTGTACAACTGGCCAAGCCGACTACAAAGTATAATGAAAATAGTCCCGCAACGAAGACTTCACGGTTTCGTCCTATCTTTGGAAATTCATCGCTCAACGCCGTAATAATGGCTTCTGAACCACCAAACTGAAAAAAGAAGAGAAGTCGGAAGGGTTATTATGTAGCATGTTTACGTCATAGCTTTTTGTCGGTTTAACATCATTTATGAAAAGTTATTTAGGGTACACGCAATGGAGTTGACAATTAAATTCCACTGGATTTTCCAAATCCTATGCAATGTAAACGTACTATCATGGCTCAATAAGAAAGGTTGTTAAACTTCGAAGAAACAAGGAAAATGCAACTCTGTACCGGAGAAATATTGAACATGCAACAAGATTTGTGTGGATCTGGCATCCCTTTATGATATGTAACTAAATATGTCATGCGAAGATTTCAAGCTGCTTATGTACTCTCACCTTTAAAATTTTTATTTCGTCGAAGCCAGAATTTTAATTTCTTTATATAAATCTAAATTTTAAGTGACTCCCCTTAAAAACTGTATGTCAACCAAATTGTTGTATGGTCGGTTATTACATCTTGCGATTGATAGATAAAAAAGTGATGTTGTCGGACACATAAATCGTTTTTCGTTATTAAAAGTTTCATTTAAGTACGAACTGTCCGATAAGCAAAAGGTCAGACAATCTTCCCTTTATATTTTAACATTACGTTTACTGAATTCATGTTGCCATATTTTTTTATTGATAATATGACAATAACAGCAAAATTTATTTAAATATAAAAGTGGATAACGCTAATCGTTTATTTTATATTGAATAACTGAATTTTAAATTTATTTCACGAAAATAATTACAAATTCGCATTTTGTTTATTTTTTTAAACTAAAATGAAGATGCCATTTCGAAAAATGCAGTGAATACCAGTTACTTTTAAAAAAGCTTGCCATATCTCTGTAAAAAATTCATATATTTTAATGGAAAGATGTAATAATGAGAACCCGATAATGTGAACTTTATACCTCACTTTTCCTAAAATAATGGATAACAAAAGGGGACTTTAAAGGAAAGATATAAGAACGGGTGGATTATTTTTTTTAAGAAAATTGGGTGTATGGAGATATGTCTACAGAGTGGTATTTTTATTACTTAACACAAATTAATCTACTTTCACTTTCTATACGACGAAATGGACCTGCATAGGTGACTTTTGTAATAAACCATAACAATATTCAAATGCGAAACTAAAAAAAATCGGTGAATAATGTAGCAAAAATCATCAAAATACTTAATATCGGGAGGTATGTTGGTGTATGAAAATCTGGCAACTCGTTAATGTACTTTTAAGCATCTCTTACTAAGTTGTTTTGTGCATCTCAAATGTCAAGTTATGCTTCCTTCTTCTTTACTGTACTTTCCTGGCAACAAGACGTGTTTAATAAAAACTCCTTTTTATATACTTCCTAATAGAAAACAAGTAAAGAGCTGTAAATTCGGCCGGGCCGAAATTGGAACAAATTTGGCAATTTCCAAAAAAAAAAATAAATAATTAAATAAAATCCGTTAAAAATTCTGTTAAAAATTTAAAAATACCGCATGTAGCTGTTATATTAGGATCTATACGACGACATTAATCTGTATAGGTAACATTTGTCATAAGCCATTACAATATTCAAATACGAAACTTAAAAAATCGGTTAGAATATCGCTAAAATCATCAAAATGCCGTATATCGGGAGGTACCGTTATATGGGGGCTATACGAAGACGTGGGCCTGGACAGACAATTTTCTGTCTTAGGCTGTAGTATCTATTGCGAACTTCAAATACCAAATTTGAAACAATTCCGGTGAATAATGTAGCTTTTAATCATTAAAATAATGAATATTGGGAGGTACCGTTATATGGGGGCTATACGAAGACGTGGGCCTGGACAGACAATTTTCTGTCTTAGGCTGTAGTGTCCATTGAGAACTTCAAATACCAAATTTGAAACAATTCCGGTGAATAATGTAGCTTTTAATCATTAAATGTCATCAAAATCATTTAAATGGTCTTCCTAGATCTGGAATCAATGTTTCCCAAAGGCCTATAATCTCTCAGACGTGGCAAAAGATTAACATTTATTATTGGTTTTTGACTGAAACGCATCTATATGAGATATAGACATTTGACTATATTCTTCAACGAAATCAGCGTTAACGAAATAGTCAGAAGTGCGTCTTTCCTGTATTTGTGAATTCTCCAAAAAGTCACTGGAATGGACATTTTCGTATTTTGTCTACAAAAGTTGGCAAACTCCTTCACACATTGAATATTTTTGGATGGCCATCCAAAACTGCTTGGCTTTTGCAATGTGCGGTAACCCCCATTCAAATGTGAGTGAGGATCGGGCGATAATTACGACCTGTCGACAATTTTACAGTTTTTTGGTCCATTTCAACTCCTAAATATATGGCGATCATCTCCAAAAAGAGTAGACTTCTATTCTGACCCTCATCTTATACACATGCAAAATTTCGTAAGGATCGGGCCATAAATGAGATCTGTATATGATATCCTGATATCCTAACTACTTAGTTTTGTTAGCTGTAGAAATATTACCAAATGTTTAATTCAAAATGAAAATATGTCAAAAAAAATATGACAAAATTGAAAAAAATATGAGAAAATTTTACAAAATCAATATTTTCATCTTTAGAGAGATATTTTTATACGATTTTTTAGACGTTTTTTCTTTCCTGTCAAGAGGCCACTCTGAATTAATGAGAACTGTCGAAATCAGTTCAGCCGTTCTCGACATATAAGATATATATAAGCATATCTCCTTTGATAGACATATATATCGCACATATTTTGCTATATATCCGATTTGTTGGATAATAACATCAATGTAAAGGTCAGAAGTAACCTTGTGATGGCTTTGTGATTTCCCCGGGATTTAAAATATTCACGGTTTAATGAAAAATTTTGATTTTTTTCAACACAAAAGATATGGTATATTTTACCCGCTAAATATTATCCGATGACCACCCAAATTAGTAGGCTTCTTCCCCGCCCTAAACTCTATCTACATGCGAAATTTTCGTCTATTGGTCTACAATTGCGACCTGTATAGCTACTGCAAAATCCGACATTTTTTCAGTATTTGGTCCATTTCAACCCCTAAACATTTGGCGATCATCTCCAAAAGCAATAGGGTTCTATTCTGGTCCAAGCCCCACCTACATTCTAAATTTCGTGAAGATCGGGCCATAATTGCGACCTGTAGAGTGATTACAAATTAACGTGGACAGACGGACGGACGGACATACATAGCTAGATCGACTCAGCTCGGCGAGCTAGGAAGATCCATATATACTTTCCTATATGGGAAACCAATATTTCGTGGTGTTACATAATTTTTGGCCCAATCAAACTTATAATACCCCCAACACATAGTGTTGTAGGGTATAAAAACACACAATAACTTTTTAAACTCTTCTTTTCATAAAACGAGTTATTTAGATTGTCAATTCCTTATTTACATACCGGTGTAAATAAACCTTAAGAAGTGTGTCACGTGGTGGCTATAGAATTAGGGATACGTAAGTCGATTTTCGATTAATCGACCTTAGGCATAATCAATGTAGAAGAATACAGGTAGATGCATCGACACTTGAGAACATTGATATGTCAAAAATTTTAAAATGTTTTTTTTTTCTTTTTTTAAATAAGTATATTTTTTAAATAAGTAGATTTTATAAAATTATATATGTATAGATCTTGTTGAACTTACCGAACTATCCAATCCCAATGTTAACAGCATCATAAAGAATATCAAAGCCCAGAATGTACTGCCCGGCATGGTGGCAATGGCGGCGGGATAAACAACAAATACCAAGCCAGGTCCCTCCGTAGCAACATCTTCAATATTTTGACCTGATGTATGAGCCATATAACCCAATACGGAAAATATCACAAAACCGGCAATAAAACTTGTGGCTGAATTAATACAACTAGTCAAGAGGGCATCCCTGAAACGAATTCAAGAGGGCATCAAAAACGATATTTAAAAAACAATTCAGTTGTTCCATTAGCATAGCATACTTACTTATAAACATTATTATGATATTTATTATATGATGCGTAGGCCAGCAGTACCCCAAAACCGGGACCCAGTGAAAAGAATACCTGAGTGGCAGCATCAACCCAAACTTCGGCCTTGTAAATAGCATCAAAGTTGGGATTTAAATAGTATTGAATACCCATGGCAGAGCCGGGTAATGTTATGCCACGTATCAGTAGAATTAGCAGCACAACATAGGGAAAGAGGGCCGTAAACCATACAACCTTGCCCGAGGTGCCAATGCCCTTCCACAGAGAGAAATAACATATCAAATAGACTATCAGCAGGCAGATGACCAAGTCCCATTTTATTGAACCCAAATTGTGAAGGCCATCACTTTGATTTAGTTCTAAGATGTAACGACTGTAGGAACGGAGGGTATGTTAGTAATTATCAAAAATAATACGATTTATTTTAATCGCAACTTACTTAAAATATTCAGAGGCGGCAGATTGGAAACGTTCACTGGCAGGTGTTGTGGTGGACAATGCTATGGTTAGATTTGCCAGTGATGTATTGAATTCGGAGGTAATTGTTGAATTGGGCAAACTATCGCTAATGTTGGAACCCAGCAGGGAGGGTATGCTGGCTTGTTGCTCGAACTGTGACAAAAAAAGGAAATAAACAAAAAAAATCTCATAATGTTTTTTTTTTTTTTAATCCATTACTTACCGGCCTACAATCATCTGTATTCCAGAAATTCGTACACGACGTCCAGGGCAATGCATTGGTAAAGGAGGCGAAAAAGAATCGCAATGACCAGGCAATAATAACATTGTAATAAAAATCAACATAGAATGCTATCAGAACCACTGCATAACCGATTCCTAATACGAGGGAAGAAGTGAAAGTGTTAATAGACTTCCTAATTGAAATTGGTGAAAACTTACCTTTGAATAATGGCACCAAACGACCCCAACATGTTATAGCACCTTTACGATTGTGTTGACCTAAAGCTAATTCCATGTAAAAAAGTGGTATACCACCAACTAATAACATAATGCAATAAGGTACAAGAAATGCGCCTGCAAGTAGATGGAAAAAATAAAAAACCTTTTTAGAAGAAGATCTGAAAACAGAGATTGGGGAGATATTGCCTCCTGACAGTGACAGAAAACTATGTCCATGTAAATGTGGTGATTAGAGAGATCACATGGTAGAAGAATACAGGTAGTCGCATCGAAACAGCTGCTGGGACAATGAACTGTCAAACTAAATTTGAAATTGAAAATTTTGAATGAAAAGTTATTCAAATTCGTAAAAATTGTTGAAAAATTAATATCATAATAATCTCCGATTGATATATCAAAACATATAAAAATATACTTATTTTTGAATTTTAATTTCAAAACTTTTGACATAACAATGTTCCCAAGCGTTGATGCATCTACCTATATTCTTCTACCATGGAGAGATCATAAGTGTTGCACTGTTGTTATACTTTTATTTCTTGGTCTTGCTCTCTTACTCTTACTGATGACGTGAACAGTAAGGACCGTGTAAGGACCTTAAACAGATAGTACATATACAGGGTGAGATGAAAAAACTGCAACCAACTTCAGACTGCTGTCATTTCCAAACCACTCGTCCGACAGTTGTTAAAATTATTCCAGTGACAGCTCATTATATTGTTTATAAGGGTACAAAAGCATTTTGGTGAGAATTTTCCAGAAAAAAAATTATTCGTAATGGAATTCAAGCGTAATAGTGTGATTTCTTTATATTTGGCTGGGAAACCACAAGTGGCCATCGTTAGAGCACTCCAGCATTTAAATGTGAATAAATCTTTTGTGTCTCTTACCATCGCTCGTTACCGTGATACTGGTAGCGTAGCCTAGCGACGTCAAGGAAGTGGAGGGAAAAAACAGGAACTTTAGCAGGAATGGTTCGAAAAGTAAAGAAGCGACTTGATCGAAACCCGCGTCGCAGTATCCGAAAAATGGCTCGTGGGCTGAACATATCGCAGTAATCCATTCGGCAAATATTGAAAAATGAGCTCGGGGTAAAGCCATTGAAATTCCAAAAAGTGCGAGAACTTACACCGCAACAGAAAGAAAATAGACTTAAAAGAGCTAAAGAGTTGCTTTGCTTGGCCGAAAGTGGTGAACTGCCGAATTTGGTTTTCTTCGATGAGAAAACATTCGTGGTCGAGCAGTTTGTAAACAAACAAAATGATCGTGTTTACTTGCCAAAGAGGTCAGCTGAAAATATACACATTCATTTAGCCGGCCATGGTGATGGTGTGGGCCGCCATAACAGCCGATCGTCGCTCTCCGCTCGTATTAATCGACCGTGGCATCAGAATATATGCCGAATATTATTGCGAAAATATTCTGGAGGGTATTTAAAAGCCTTGAGCACGCAGGACTCAGCACCATCGCACTCAGCACGCGCCACCCAAGAATGGTTACAAAATGAGGTTCCTCGCTTCATTTCCAGCGCACAATGACCATTAAAATCTCCGGATACCAATCCGTTGGACTATTGTATTTTGGAAAACAAGGTTGGCACTAAAAAATACCAAAGTGCCAATCACCGTAGAGCAATATTCGGGCAGCGTGTGATGGTTTCATTGGCCGTTTGAAGGCCATAATTCGTGCCAAAGGTGACCAATTCGAACAAATCTAAAATTATTCTAAAATTTTATGCCATTTCCGACATTTTTATACTCTACACCATAGTATGGAGGATATATTAAGTTTGTCATTCCGTTTGTAACACCTCGGAATATACATTTAAACCCCACAAAGTATATATATTTCTTGATCAGCATAAAATTCTATGTCGATTAAGCAATGTCTGTCCGTCTGTGGAAATCACTCTAGCTTCCGAACGAAATGAAGTAAGTTGATAAAAATTTATTCAAGTGTGTATTATGTCTGCAGGACTTTTGGTATTGAAAATGGATTCTGCAGGTCCACATCTTCGTATAGCCCCCATAGAACGGTACCTTCCGATATTCGGTATTTTGATGATTTTAGCGACATTATTAACCGATTAAATTTGGTATGTGAAGTTCGTAATGGATACTGCAGCATAAGACAGAAAATGGGACATGTAGGTCAACGTCTTCGTATAGCCCCCATATAACGGTACCTCCCGATATTTGGTATTTTTATGATTTTAGCGACATTTTTTACCGGAATTATTTCAAATTTTGTATTTGAAGTTCGTAGTGGAAACTACAGACTTTGCTAGAAAATTGTCTGTGCACTTCCACGTCTTAAAACCCCCATGGTACCTCTCTATATTCAGTATTTTGATGGTTTTAGCTACATTATAAAAAGATTTTTTTCAAGTTTCGTATTTGAATATTGTAATAACTTATGACAAAGTTGCTTATGCAGGTCCACGTTGTCGTATAGACCCTAATATACGGCTACATTCGGTATTTTTAAGATTTTATCAGAATTTTTAACGGATTTTATTTTTTTTTTTGAAAATTGTCAAATTTGTACCAAATGGTGGAGGGTATTCAAAGTTTGGCCCGGTCGAACTTAAGGGCTAAGTACATAAGAGGCTTGAAGTCATGGCTAGGCATATTTTGTGACTTTTCACAAAGCGATTACAGAGCCCTTACAGATTTTTTACTTGTTTTCTTTTCATTCAATAAAAATAAAAAAATTTGTAAAAATTATGGCGTTTGACTTTGTTGCGGTTTTTTTTTATTTCACTCTTTTTTTGCATCCATATTATTTATTTTTTGATAATTTTTCTATTTATTCCAAATATTCCTATTATTATTCATTTGACAACATCTCATTGTCAAAATGTATATTTTTAAATCCATTGTATATACACAAATCAGAGATGGAAACCTTTTTTCCATCCCGTGAAATTTGACGAATGACTTTACTTTCTTAATTTTATCATGGTTTAACCCTTAAGAAAATATAAAAAATTCATCTTCCAGAAATTTTGAATAAATATCTGTTTCTATGTGCCAAGGAATGTCGAAAAAAAATATTTTTTTTCTTATTTTTTTTTAATACTCCATTCGCCATACGTAAATATTTTAGGTAAGAAATTAATTTTTATTTCAAAAATGGAAGCAATGGAGAATATCTCTATTGTTTTGTCATGGTTTCGATGGGAAAAATGCAAAAAAAAGCCCTTCTGACATACAATATTTAACTCAATTAATCACTTGAACAATTATGTATGGCCATTGGCCTAAAGACTGAAGCAGTGAAAATGACAAAGTAATTTCCGTTAATATCCGATTGAAAATGAAAAGTTATTATGCGGTTCACACATCCATCCGCCACTCACACCATCCAACCAACCACCATAACGTGGTAATACTTTTGACATTTTAACACCTCCTTGCGACAGCTTTACTTCTTTCAATGCACACGGAGAATAATAATGGAGAGAGAGAAACAACAACAACAACAAGAACAGTGAAATTTAATGCTTTTTTAAATCACATTATTATTAGCATGTCCATATAATTGTGTTGAAGGCCATGGTGACAATGAATGGGGGTGGTGGGCTGTCAGATGTAAATGACATAAAGGATGTGAGAGTATGAATGATAAGGATGCCTGGAATGCCTTGTATGCGAATAAGAATTTTCCTCACTTATTGGTGGCTGTGGGCACGGATGCCTAGACGGGGGGAGGGCGAGTATATACCCCCAACAATATTGAGAACCTAAAATTCTATTATAAATAAATCTAATTTTCGTTGTTTCAAAAACGCCAACAGCAGCAGCAAAAGCAACAACAATATGTACCTACTCTAGGAAAAAAGCTCTCCATCCTTAAATGACATTTTGTATTCATATGCTCGAGCATGGATGTATGAGAAAGGTACTTGTACGGACTTTATGTAAGTGGTTTGAGTGAGTTCATTTAAGTGTTTCGAGGAAGGTTGGGCAATTGTGAGCAGAAAAAAAAAATAAAGAGAGCTTCTAGTAGAAATGATTTGGAAGAGCTCAGGGCAGGACAAGGGCCAGTCTAATTTCTCTTAGTATTTTAAATCAACAACAAATAAATGTAAAAATATTATTCATTCATGAGTTTTGCCTTGTTAAGGCGAAGATCATATGTTTTATGATTTAAGTGTTTGTTTTCTCTTTCGAGACGAGCTTAATGATCTGAAATTTGCAGTGAAAAGGAAAGCCAGATAGACACTATCACACACTCACCACTATGCGACGCGTTTCGCCGTTGGTTAAGCGGCTCATCAGGCATATTTGATGTGGATGATGGCTTACAAGGGCCGTTCTCTGGAAAGTAGTATATATTTCGAACTTATTGCAAATTAGCATATGCGAATTATACACTAGAAACTCTCCAGGTTCGACTCAAGTTCTATTGGCAGATCTTTTTTCACAGCAACGTTTTGTTTTTTGTAGTGATGGATTTTTTGTCCACAACAACTACATTGCTTCCAATGCATACACTTGTTTTAGTGCTGCTTTAGGAAGACGGGAACCGCGGACCTCTGTGTGCAGCCAACTAGAAGTTGCCGTCTCTACGTTCAGAACCATTAACCCGTCTTCCTAAAGCAGCACTAAAACAAGTGTATGCATTGGAAGCAATGTAGTTGTTGTGGACAAAAAATCCATCACTACAAAAAACAAAACGTTGCTGTGAAAAAAGATCTGCCAATAGAACTTGAGTCGAACCTGGAGAGTTTCTAGTGTATAATTCGCATATGCTAATTTGCAATAAGTTCGAAATATATACTACTTTCCAGAGAACGGCCCTTGTAAGCCATCATCCACATCAAATATGCCTGATGAGCCGCTTAACCAACGGCGAAACGCGTCGCATAGTGGTGAGTGTGTGATAGTGTCTATCTGGCTTTCCTTTTCACTGCAAATTTCAGATCATTAAGCTCGTCTCGAAAGAGAAAACAAACACTTAAATTATTCATTCATGTTTATACAACTAGATCCTGCGATTTCATTCTTCTAGTTCCGTTACAGTACGTTCACATATACAGGGTGAAATAAAAAACGGCAACAAGTTCCAACGCCATACTTTCATTTTTTTTTAATTTTATTGAATGAGAG